CTGATGCCCTATTCCCCCAAATTACTTTGTTTTTATTTTGTGTATATATGTATGCATGTATGTATGGAAAGACAGATGGATAGACAAATAGATGGATAGATGGATGGACACATAGATGGATATATTGATAGATACTATATATACATATATACACACACACACACACACACACACACACACACACTATATACATAAGTGTATACATATGTACGTGAATATGTATGTATGGAAAGATAGTACATATATGTGTGCTTATATATATGTATATTTGTATATGTGTGCAAGTATGGTATGTGTGTATGTATGCAGGGAGGGAGAGGGAAAGAGACAGAGAGAAAGAGAAAGAGAGAGCATTGACTCTGGAGACAGAAGACCTGCATTCAAATCCTACTCCTGATGTATACTGCCTGCATGACCTTGGGCAAGTCACTTAACAGAAGGATCATGCATGTCAATTGTTGCAAAAAAAAAATTTTGGTAATGTATCCTATCTGTGCAAAGTCCTTTAAATGCAAATAATTGCACGCAGATATTATAATTGTACTTTGAAATGAAAACTTTCATCATACTATCTCAATGTTCTTTGACTTATAAATTTTAAAAATGTGTCAATCAATGTAGCTTGATCCTTCAAGGTATTCTAAAACGCCAGTCCTTCTATTAACTTCTCCAGACTTCAGTTTTCTCAGTTGTAAAACAAGGGGTGGAATAGATGGCCTTTGAGGTCTTTGAGGGCTTTGGACCTGGAATCCTATGATCATATGTGCATACTTTCTTCACTAACAGAATGTAAACTTCTAAAGGAAATGTTTCAGTTTTGTGTTTGTTTCTCCAGTGCCTATCACAGTGCATGGGACATGGTAGACTCTTAATAAATTCTTAATGATTGATTGATTTCCTGTCCCAGCACACCTGAGATAGGTAAATATCAAGAGGTAATAGAGAACCACTCCCCCACTATCCTACACATTGTTCATGGATGGATTACTAATTTATATTGAAAGCCACTGGGCAACTAATATATCCAGAATTAGAAATGTGGCAGACTAGAAAGAACCCTGCATTTGCAGCACAAAACCTGGGTTTGAATCCTGACTCAGTCAATTGACTGTCAAGTTAAGTGACCTTGGGCAAGTCACTTAAATTCTCTGTTTCCCATCTGAAAAATGATTGAATTAGATGATCTCTAAGGCAGTGGTGTCCAGGTGTATTTTTATTTATTTCGTTAAACATTTCCCAATTACATTTTAATACAGTTGGAGGCACTGGGGAGGGTTGCATACGATATGTCTGACACTTCTGCTCTATGATATTATCAGGATCTAAATCCAGTTTTGTTGGTAGAGGGATTTTTTTTTTCCCAGAAACTCCTGGTACTGATAAAATTGAAGGGAAGGATGAAACAAAAAATATATTTCTGGCTTAAATTCATTGAGTTACTCTGTGAAACCTTTAAAATTTTTCATTTCTCTAACAATTCTAACATTAGGAATAGCAGAATTGTGATCTATAGTGAGTTTCTCTGTTTAGGCCATTATTTCTTACTCACAGATAACTCCATCTCCCTTCACAGCACCAGCCAGCAAAGTGTGAGACGATTTCTTCTGAATAGTCCCAAATATCCATATCTTTCTCCTGTTGACTGACTGATTCTCCTGATGAATCAATCTGCTAACTTTGTCCAAAAAGGAAGGGAGATAGTCTGACATGACCTGCTCTTTTCAAGAACCTGTGCTGGATTTTGTGATCATCACTTTCTTTTCTAAATTCTCAGAAATGATCCTTTTAATAATTGAAAAACTCCATAATTTTTCCAGGAATCAAATTCAGGCTTATTTTCCTATAGCACTAAAGATTCCCTATTTTTTAAATAAGGTAACATTTCCCCTTTTCCAGTACTGAGACACTTCTTCCATTCTTCATGGTCTTTCAAAATAGGGCAAGGAAGTAATGAAGGTAGCTGAGAGGAAGATGTAATTTCAACATAAGGACATGCTTCCTAATAACTAAGAGTAGTCTAAAAGAATAATGGACAGTTTGGGGGGCTTGTGGCTATGTTGCTGAGAGTGCCCAGCAGACTTTCATGGGTGAGCATTACTCTCTTCTTCCTCTGTTCTGAGGGCTCCCCTTCACAGGATGAGATGACTTCGGACAAGCTGGACAATGACTTTTAGGAGATGCCTGCTTAGGTATGGCTTAGACTTGACTATCTATTTCCTCACTACGAGAAATTATTAAAATCAAAAGACACACATTGACAAATACTTAAAACATGATACAATACTCATACCTCCTGTCAACTCAGGAGACTGATGATGATGGTGGTGGTGGCAATGATGACTGGCATTTATATAGCACTATTTTTTTGAGGCACTTGGGGTTAAGTGACTTGCCCAGGGTCACACAGCTATTAAGTGTCTGAGGCCTGATTTGAACTCAAGTCCTCCTGACTCCAGTGCTCTATCCACTGTACCACCTAGCTGCCCCTATGTAACACTTTAATATTTGCAAAATACTTTGTATACTTTACTTCATGTGATCTTCACAACCCCTCTTAGGTAGGGGCTATTAGTATCATCTCCATTTAACAGGTGAGGAAATTGAGCTGTGAGAAGTTGTGACTTGCACAGGATCATACATCAAAACACGAAACATTTTTTGGAACTGCGAACAGGCAATTCTACTTCACCTCAGCTCAGCGCTGTCCAAGCAATTCCCTCAAGGTCCATGTCTTCTAGCCAGTCAGGGCATGGCTCGGGCTCAACCTCCTTTGGGGGATCATCTTGTCTGAGAAGCATTGTAGTAGCTGAAAGGATTACCTCCTGAAAGTCAGCCAGCACTAAGAAAGGAGCCCTGAATTTCCAAACACTCAAGGTAGTCATCAAATCTGAAAACTCTCTCTTTCAAGAGTACAGATCAGTCTCCTGAGCTCAGGGAAAGAAAGACAAATGAGTTGCTATATGTCAAGTGCTTTGCACACTTGAAAGCACTACATAAATGCTATTTATTAGAAGAGGCTGCTAGAATTTTGGGATACAGTCTCATGTCCACCTAGAAAAACACATGGTCTCACTGCCATGTCTGAACAGCTACCATAGCTGGGGCTTTGGGGGAAAGGATAAGAAAGAGAAGCCTCCTCCCTTCATGGGAAGCATAAAAGACAACTGTTAAGAGACCCGGTTACATGTTCAGAACAGAGGAAGGAGAGAGTGATGCTCACCCTTGAAAGTCTACTGGGTGCTCTCAGCAACACAGCCCTGCCCCCACTTCACTCACCACTAATCCGTTTCTCTACTCTCCTTCACTGCTAATCTTGAAAATGTTGTCTGCATTCAATATTCCCACTTCCTCACCATTCCCTCTCTTTCCAACTCCTTGCAATCTAACTTCTCCCCAGCCTCTCTCCTACACACACTTATCCTCTTTACTGAAGCCTCTCTCTTTAAAGACCAGAGGGATGAAATGTTTACCAAGAGATCACATGCAGTTAAGTTAGATGAGCTGGAATTTAGACTGAAATCCTCTGATTCAAAATTTTGGTCTTATTCCACTATGATATCTTCAATCCAAGGGACAAAAGTTGCTTCCCTCCCCAAAAAAACAGTCCTTTTTTCAAAAGTTCATCAGAGAAGTGAGAGGTTTTTTGGGGGGAGTACCACTGAATTTTGAGATAGAGAACCTGAGTTCAGACTCTGTCTCTATCAATGACTACCCACAAGATGTTGAGTAAGTCACTTAGTTTCCCTGGGCCTCTGTTGTTTCATCTGTTAATTGAAGAAAGTTAGACTAACCTCTAAGGGTGCATTGAGGTCTAAATCTATTATCCTAAAGTGAGACATTTACTAGCTGTGTGATCCTGGACAAGTCACCTCACCTTGTTTGCCTCAGTTTCCTCATCTGTAAAGTGAGCTAGAGAAGGAAATGGCAAACCACTCCAGTATCTCTGTCAAGAAAACACCAGTTGGGGTCACAAACAGTCTGAAATGACTGAAAACAACTGAATAACAACAAAGAGAGATTGATGTCTGCATCCTACATAGCCTAGGATGGCATCTCCCAGAACAATCTTATCTGAGTGCTATCAGGCAGCATCTCTTTGAAGCAAATCTGGGGGCAGCTAGGTGGCACAGTGGATAGAGCACTGGCCCTGAAGTCAGGAGGACCTGAGTTCAAATCCAGCCTCAGACCAAACACTTGACACTTACTAGCTATGTGACCCTGGGCAAGTCACTTAACCCCAATTGCCTAAAAATAAAAAATTAAAATTAAATAAATTGAAGCAAATCTGAAAATCATAGGAAAAAACCCTCAAAAGTAGCTTCCTAAGATCCTGATGAATAGGAAGAAATTGTACTGCTTGTAGAGACCAGTTTCAATGCGTTATAACTGAGCCAGTGAAATACCTTAGCAGGCCTGAACAGCCTTTACTACACTCTAAAGGCCAGAAAAACACTCAAGATGCCAAGGCAGCTGGAAATTTACGGAGTGAATGAGTCCCTGTTAATCCCTGAGAATGCTGGGGGGGGAGTGATGGAAGTTAGCCAACAGGTCACCAGGACAATATTCAATTGTCCTTCAGTATTGTCCCACTCGATGTCTTAAATATGCCATTCTCTTTTTTTTGTGAATTTATTACTAAGAGCAATTCAAGAGTTATGAGTGATTGGAAATGAGAAGAGCATCACTGTCTCTTATGGCATAAACATCTCTAATGGTGCTTATCTGTTTTCTTTCCATAAAATGTGCTAATAGAAACAACAGCTCTAGGAATATTGATATCCAAGTATCATACCACCATGCTTTTATCCACAGGGTGATTTGTAATAATCTGCATAAATATGCATAATTTAGGTTCATCTTAAATACCCTTTTAAAGCAAAAGAAGCAGGGTTGATTTATGTTGTCATTTCTCCTGAAGAAACTGTATCTGTTTTTATTCAGGCAAAGCCTGGACCAGCAAGCCAAGCGCTAAGCTCTCCCCTCTCTTGCCTTGGGTACAGGTTGTACCAGCACAGGCGAAGTTCAGTGGTGGTGAACCTACCTGGACTTGAGGTGTTCCCTGGAGATCTCCTGGTGCCCGATGGAGTGGCCAGCTACCTGTGCCATCCAGCCCTGCTGCTGAATTCAGGTCACTGTCAGAAGGTTTGGGTTTTTTGAAGTAAGAACCATAAGACCTAAACCTAGCAAAGGCAATTCACATTATTTGAAAGCAACCATTTGGCTTAGCACTAGCTCATCAGCTATAGCAAATGTGTCTCTAAGGCAGGGCAGTTTGCCTAAATGTGTATGGAAGATCTTTGACCTGAAAAATTCCATTGAATCCAATCCCCTCATTTTACAGATAAGGAAAATGATGTCCCAAAAGACTGAGTAATTTGCCCAAGTTCACACAGGTAGTAAGTGAGAGAAGTGGGAATGAGATGGGCCATTTGTAAAGACTGACCCTCGGTCACTGCCACCATTACCACTATGCTAGAAAGACAGTACAGTATACTGTACTGCTGGATCTGAAGGTAGGAAGACCTGGATTCAAAGCCCACCTTGGGTCCTTATTAGTTGTATTACCCTGTGCAAAACATTTAGACTCTATGGGCCTCAGTTTCTTCATCTGTAAAATGAGACACTTGTATTCTTAAGATCTCTAGTGTCCTTTCCAGCTCTGGGTCTTTGATTCTATGAGCTTGGGATCAACCCCTCCATCCATTGTCTTACAAGTTCCCTCAGGCCAGACTCCCAGGGTCAGCCATCTGTGAAACTGAAATGATCGAACATTTACTAGATCTGACACCAAGAGAATCTTAGGGAAAATGTAGAAGTCTTGGCACAGGTCTGTCTGCCTACACCCCATGTTAACAACCTAAATCTGCCACTCGCTACTTTCTGACCCTGGAAAAACCATCCCCTTTCTCTGGACCTTAGTGTTTTCATCTATAAAATGAGAGAGAAATCAGGGACCCTAAAGTTTAGCCATATGAAAAGGCATAATGGTCTTCAAGTTGAGTTCCCTATGTATCTGAGAGTATTCAAGTCATAGAACCTTAGAAGACTTAAGAGATCACCTGGCCCAACTCCCTTATTTCTTTCTATATGATGGAAAAGGTCATAGAGAGGCAAAGGGGTGGACCCAAGCCCACACAGCTGGCTTGTGGCAGAACTTGGGCTAGAATTTATCTCCTGATTCTTAATCCATATTCTTTCCATAAGACCATGCTGCCTCCCACAATCCACGGGCTGAAGGTTGTGATATATACATATGATAACCACAGCAGTAGTCTATATACCTGATTCCACTTTGGAAGCTATCTAAAGTATTTAATTTCCATTAAAATATATTCTCCATTGAAGCCCTACCCTGATGCCTCCTTATGACATGGGGGAGAACCCTTAGTTCTTGAAGGCCGTAACAATAGTGGATAGCCTTTGGAGAGTCTTATAAAGCTGGAAAAGTGTTCAGTGTGGCCAAATGATGACTGTATATCTGTCATAAAAGAATCATCCATGTTACCTTCACACAGGTGCATTCCCAGCTTGCTGCAGGGTGATTTTTTTCATTATTATTATAGCAACTCACAAAGACATGGAGAGGTTGCAACCTATGTTAGCATATGAAGTATCCCCACCAATGGAATTACTGATCTTGGAAATGTCAAAGAATAAATTGCACTACAATTCCTCTGTGGTGCATACCTAACAGCTTCATTTTACATCAAATCAACAAGTCTCTACTCTTAGCACTGAATTAGGTACCATGATGACTGAAAAGATGCTTCCTTTCCTGAGGTCACTCAGTCTAATTCATGAATGAATGAATGAAACCAGATACTATGATTGGGGACTCATACAAAAGCAAGACAATTCCTGGCCTCAGTGAGCAATGCCTATAGGTAAGGAATGGCCAGGGAAGGGAATATGGGTATAGGAAGTCAGAGGGATGATAAGTCGATCCATTGGGCAGCAAATTATTTAACATAACCTTTCCAGAAAGGAATATTAGCATTGACTTTATTATTATGTCCAAAATCAAAGATGGGGCCAATATTGTGTTTTCTTCCAGACAGTATCAGTGTAGCTAGAGGTAAAAGTAAGAAAAGGGCGGAATTAATGAAAGACTAAAGGTATGAGATGTCAATTTGAAAATTTCCATTTCTTGAGCCATCCAAAGGTCAGGGCTCCACGTGTTAGCAGAGATTCAAAGTTAAGTTTTCTTGGTCCATTATAATAATTACACAGAAAGATGATTTCCTTCACTCCAGAGCAAAAATTGCAATTAGTGGGAACTTCACAACTGCTAAGACAAACCTTAAAACACCAGGTAATAAGCAGTTTCCATTAATACTTACCTAGAGGAAGTGTAACTCACCTTTGTCTTTATAAAAATCAGTGAGAGGGCCAAAACCAGAAGGAGGATATTCAGCCAGACAAATACCTCCCAATGGCCCCATTGAAAATACACCGTGAGGCATGTCATTCGCAAATAAATTGCAGCCCAGATAATTACCTCCATTCTACTGAATTGAAAGAAGGGGCCATCTGATGAATTTGATTAGAAGGAGAGATGAATGTAAGTAGGGCCTATTTCATCCATTTTATTTGAGCTGTCAGCTCATGCCACCCAATCACAAGAGTTGCTTCTCAGCCTTTCCAGAGGTACCATTAACACTCACGGCACTGTTTCAGCAATGCTCAAAGAAATTCATGCAAGTAGGGAAGGCAATATATATAAAAGCCAGGGAGCCAAAGTTTTCCTGCTTTGTCTTAATGGTTATTTCTTTTAATGTGGCTTTAAAATGGTTTCCTTCTCAGTCAACCTTGAATTCTAACTACTTGAAAGGAAATCGACAATGTGAACATCTCCAGGCAGATGAAAGCAGCCAGCCTCCTAATGTCATTTTAATTCTCACTGTTTGCATATTCCTTCCAAATTATGAGTGAAGCTTGGTTTATATAATCTCTTGGGCCTCAAGATTTGTCAACACCCATCAGACCACATATATTGGGATGGTTTAGATTTAAGCTTGTATAGAAGTGGGGGCCAGATCAGATAACCTCAAGAGGTCCTTCCATCTAAGACTTTGTGTATTTAATCAGTTACTGAAGTTGTTGTACCACACCTTGTGAAACAAATGGAATTTCCTCTGAATGAAGAATGATAATATTCTAATTAGGTCACCCTAATTCCTACTGAATCTGAAAGATCACAGATTTAATTATGAAAAGAACCTGAATCAAGTCTAGCCTCCTCATTTTATAAGAGCCTACAAAGGTTAAATGACTTGACCACAGTCATATAGATAGCAAATGACAGAACAAGATGATGGTATCACAGATTTAAAGCTGGAAGAGACGTTAGAGGTCAATTTATTTTATGAATGGTGACATCAAAGCCCAGAGAGATTAAATATCTTGCCCACAGCCATTTTGGAAGTAAGTAGAAGAACCAAGATTACGGTATTATAGATTTATAGCTGGACCATAGGGACCATAAAGGATATTTCGTCCAACTCCCTTATTTTCAGATGATAAAACTGAAGCCCACAGAGGTTAAAGGAGTTGTCCATGGTCATAGAGATAGAAAATGGCAGAACTGAGATCATGGCAATGTGGATTTAGATCTGGAAGGGACCTTGGAGGATATCTAATCTAACACCCTTATTTTAGAGAAGAAGAAATTGAGGCTTAGAGAAGCCTGAATGAGAGATATTAAGCAAGTGACTTGTTTAATGTCATTGTTAAAGTCACTTGTTTAGTATCAGAAATGGCATTTGAACCCAGGTCTTTCTAACTCTAAGTCCAGGCTTCATTATATTATTTGAACAAATAGAAATTCTTATTTTGTTCCCTTAAGAGAGAAGTAAAATTAAAACAGGAAAATTTTGGTTCGGCTCATTATTTAAAAAGAAAGATTTCAGAAAGCCTCATGATAATCCATCACTTGCTTATAGAATAATACCTTTTCTTTCATTTCATTTACCAGAACCCAAAAAGCCGAGATGGCCATTCTCCAAGAAAGGCGTGGTGAGTGTCATTTAATATAATTCTTTTAATTAAGCTCCAGCAGTTCAGGACAAAGAACTAACAGCTGAAGTGTTTCTTCCAGCTCTTCCTCTTTATATGGAGACAGGTGGCAGGTGAAATTTAAATGAGATTATAGAAATGGAATTGGTGAGAGCATGCCAAATGGGGCTTTGAGCATTGAAACAATGCCAAATACCAGGCATTAAGGTGCCCAGCCAGGAACAAAGCTCTTTCCCCTGCCTTGGGATGCCCCCTCCTTCCCATACTGTTATGCTTCAGCTTTCTAAATCTGTAACTACATATACCATCATCAATAACTCATTTGATGATAGAAAGTCCTTATATGAGTTGTTGTTAGGACTGGGTTGTTTCAAAGCATTGTGAAATTAATGAGCTAGTCCAGAGAGGGATTCCAGAAATGCATTTCTATTTCAGGGAAAGTGAGCTGGGTTTGAATGAGTTCTTGATTGTGTTCTGTTAAATCAGTTCAGAAGTGTATTCATTCAAGACACTGGTAGCATGTTTATTTGATAGAGCACAGCCTGGCCACTATTGAAAGAGAAGTTGCCATGGCCCAAATCCTTTTTCTTCTGTGTTGAGGGTAAAAGGGCTAATGTAGTCAAGAGCAAGAACAGCTGACTTCTGGGGATTGAAAGAAGGGAGAGCAATTGGAGGAGTGGGAAAAGAAAGATATGTAATGGTACCACCAATTCTCCTGGTTATAGTAAAGGAACAAGCTGAATGACGAAAATTGTTCCATTATTTTCATTAAAAATGAACCTGTCTACCAGCTTAAACAGCTAACTTGTTTTAGGTGCTCTGTCTGTATAAACACTAATTGGGAATGGGAGGACAAAAAGCAAAATAACAACTGGTTATTTTGAAAACTGATTAATTATCATAGAGTTTTTTAGTTGGGAGGGATGCTAAGGGTCATTTAGTCCAACACCCTCTTTTATCAAGGAAGGATAGAATCATAGATTGGGTAGAATATAAGCTCCTTGAGGGTAGGAACAGTTTTTCATCTTGTCTTTGTATTCATAACATAATAACATAACATAATAATAACATGATATATAATAATAACATAATAGGCACCCAATAAATGAATTCTCCCTGTTTTGCAAATAATAATAATACCTAGTATTAATGTAGCACATTAAAGATTACAAAGCATTTTGTGTATATTATCTCATTTGATTCTTACAACTGGGTGAGGCAGGTGTTGTTATTATGCCCTGTTTTGCTGATGAGGAAAACGAGGACATTAAGTGACTCACCCAGGGGTCGTAGCTAATAAATGTTTAAGGTATGACTTGGGCAAACCATCTTCCTATCCCCAAGTACAGTGCTCTAGCCCTATACTATCTTAGAGGTCATCTTTTTTATTTATTTATTTTATTTTTAATTAAGGAATACAACAAGCATTTCCATAACAAAAAAGATAGCATGTGAAACTGCAAATCTAATACGTACAACTTGCTATTCCTTTTAAATATAAAATAATCAGGTATATTTCTTTCTTTTTCTTTTTTTCTACCCTCTTCCTCCACCCACCTTAGAAATGGCTACCATTAGACACAAATGTACGCATGCACGTGTATGGGTATGTGTGGGTATATGTGTGTGTATGTGTAAAATTATTCTACACAAATGTATATTTACCAGTTCTTTCTCTCGATGCAGATAGTATGGTTCTTCATATGTCCTTTATAGTTAATTTGGATATTTATAATAGTCAAAATGACTTATTTGCTCAGTGTTGCTCTTAAAATAATATTGCTGTATACAATGTTCTCTTGGTTTCTGCCTAGAGGTCATTTTGTCCAGCTTCCAGATTCCTTCAAAAATTAGCTCAGGTCTTATATCCCAAAAGAGGACTTTCCTGACATCCTACCCCTCATACCTCTAAATCACTTTGTAATTACTTGTATCTATTTTGCAGGTACTTATTTTCATGCGTGTTATTTCTCAAATAGAACATAAGTTCCTTGAGGGCAGGACCCTTTTGCTTTTGTCTCTGGATCCCCAGGGGCCTAACATAGCATCTAATACAGACTAGTTATTCAATAAATGCCTGATAAATTGAATCTGTTTTTCTGTACAGCTAAAGAAAGGGAGACCCAGCAAGGTTAGGTGACTTGTCCAAAGTCACTTGGGCAATAAGTGGAAAAGCCTGGATTAAAAACCAGGTTCTCTAGCTCCACATTCAGCTTCCTACCCACCATCCCACACTGTCTATCAATTCCACATGAAGACCTAGATTGCATTAAGGGAGGGAGCTGGAGGAGCGTGTTACCCATGTGGAGTTCATTATCCCAAGCAACCATTTGACTAGTCCCTTCTATAAGGAAAGTGAAACAAACGCAGGCAAGAAGGCACCATTAAAGGGGAACCATAAGAACTCCTAATTTCTTTGAGGCTTTCTAAGTCCTTTTCTCAGAACAACACTGTACAGTGGGAAGACCAAGGACTTTTAGCATCATGATAACATAGCTAAATATATTCTGATATTATAAGATCTTAGATTTAGAACTGGAAAGGGCTTCAGAGAGCATCTCAAACAACTCCCTCATTTTACAGATGAGGAAACTGAGGCACAGAGAAGCTAAGTGATTTGTCCAGGGTCACATAGCTAGTAAGGAGCATAGGTAGGATATGAACACACTGACTCCAAGTCTAACATTCAGTAGTAACTACCATACCACAGCCACCTAATTCTCTGAAAGAGTTAACACAACTGGAGGAATGGAACAGTTTATGCCTTCTTCACTAAGACCTCCTGGTATGGGCTCTCAGGGTTGCCAAGTACTCAGAACCTCTAATAATTGCAGAACCCAAGATTTGCCAACTGGTACCTACACCCCCACAACTCCTACAGCCCATTATCTCACTGGGATTCTTTTCTCATTTGATATACTGGTTTCCACAACAGTTCAGTTGCTGTGGTTTCAGACATCAACAAAAAGCATGGAGCCCAATGCTGCAGGATCTCACACACACACACACACACACACACACACACACACACACAATCTCCAAGATGCTTGGTGACTATGGAAAGAACAAAAAGGCTTCCTTCTTTGGAGTCAAAGAAAATACTCATTATCCTCCTTGTCACTAATCTTCATGGGTTTGGAAAATATGAGCAGGCCCTCATAGAGGAGTCACTATTGATGCTGGTAACAGGAGATGATAACCTGTTCCCATTTTTAGCCAATATTATAAATGTGACTCACTCACCCCCCCTTACCCCCACCAGCTGCTTAGATTCACTGCCAACAGCACACATGCTGAGACATAGAAACAAGCTGAAAAATTATCATTGATGAATGTCTATTTGGAATGCTGTCAAATTGGCTTTAAGGCTCTCATACATTATTTTTCTTTCGACACATCCTTCCTGGTTAAATTGCAAAACTGAACTGTTTAAAGGGGTAGTTCCATTCAAGGAAAAATTCATGTGGACATGTCAGAGTCGGAACTTGAACCTATATCTTCCTGCCTACTCTATATTCATTATTATGCAATGCTGCCTCTCTCTCCAGCTCATAATAAGATGTTAATAAATACTTGTTGAATTGAATTTTACAGATGAGAAAAACGAAGCATAGAGGATAAGTGATTATTAATTATTAATTATTAGAAGTTGGATCTGACCCCAGGGCTTCCTCATTCTAATTCCACCATTCCATCCACCTGATAGCCAACCTGTCTACACTAGGTTTAGTAGAGATACCAGATATTTCAAGGAACAACAACAACAAAAAAAATGAAGCTACCTTTGTTGTTTATATCTTCAAGGAATTAACCCATAAAGATTTTTTTTTAAGCAGAGTAAAGACAAACAAAAGCAAGCACTTGACCTGAAAAATTGCCTTTCCACCATTAAGATTACCGACTGCGGTGGATACGAGTTTCACAGCTTGAAGGTATCAACTCAAGTACACCCATATTCTTAACTCTTCTTTGTATTCTATCCCTTCCTTTCTTTTCTTTATTTTTTTTGGGGGGGTGGGGGGGCGGCTAGGCAGTAGGGTTAAGTTACTTGCCCGGAGTCACAAAGCTAGTAATTGTCATGTGTCTGAGGTGGGATTTGAACTCAGGTCCTCCTGACTCCAGGGCCGTGCTCTATCCACTGCACCCCCTAGCTGCCCCTATTCTTTTCTTTCTTAAATGGAATTCACATAGAATTGGGACTAGCAGTCCTCATCTTAGAATTGCCTCGTTTTCATGATGGATACATATTCAATCGATTGAAGCATTGAAATATAGCCTAAGACGTATCATAAATCTCCCCAGAGTACCTCCATCTAATACTTCAATACATCCAGGATTCAGGATGTCATCAGTGTTCCCTCCACCAACAGACATTCATTCATCTTCAATCCCTCCATGGCTCAGTAAGTGCCTTTCTTGAGTTGCTGAGGCTAAAGAAATTCACCAACCTACTGAAATCCTTGGCAATGAGTGTCTCTGTCCTTACCTAGCCCGATCTTCAGGTGATTAACATACTGGGGCCATTATTAGACTTATATACGAAGCCCTTCCAATTGGATATGTTCTGAGTATTTAAATTCTAATCGCATGGACTTCAGAAACCCAGGACTGTAACCACACCATGAAGAGGCATCTGAGAACACAGGTAGAGACCACAGAACAAAATGAATTAAATTCACTTTCACTTTAAAAGCCAATATAAGTGGCTTAAAGTCTCTATGCCCCCAGGCAACTCTCTAAGACTCGAAGTTACAGGACAGTTGCTGATCTGCATTGATAGAAGAGTTCCCTATGCCAACAAAATTTACAACTGCAATCCGAAACCAAAATATGCCACATAGCTCAGATGTGGTAAGTAGTAGCATTACAAACTCAGCTATTCTTTTCAACTCAGCAAAGATATATTCACTGATTCTATGAAAGGCAGAGGGAAAGGGAGGGTGGGACCAGGCATTTATTGAGCACCTGCGATGTGCTAAGCACTTTACAAATATCTCATTTGGGGGCAGCTAGGTGGCACAGTAGATATAGCACCGGCCCTGAAGTCGGGAGGACCTGAGTTCAAATCCAGCCTCAGACCAAACACTTGACACTTACTAGCTGTGTGACCCTGGGCAAGTCACTTAACCCCAGCTGCCTAAAAAGAAAAAAATTTTAAAAAAAAATCTCATTTGACTTAAAGGGATTTTACAGAGGATAGAGCTCCAGGTATGGAGTCAGGAAGACTCATCTCCCTGAGTTCAAATACAGCCTTATCTGTGTGACCCTGAGCAAGTCACTTAGCCTTGTTTGCCTCAGTTTCTTCATCTGTCAAATGAGCTGGAGAAGGAAATCTTTACTAAGAAAACCCCAAATGGGGTCACAGAGTCAGACTTGACTAAAATGTCTAAACAGAACATCGGCCAGGCATTGTGCTATACAGCTGAAAAATGACTGAACGACATGCCCTTTGTATTGTGGGGAATAAATTGACAAGCAACACTTAGGGCCATCGGTGAGAAAAAGTGGATCATGGACTATAGCTTTAGAGTTGAAAGGAACCTCGGAGACCATCCAATCCAACTTTCATTTTCTGGATGAGGAAACTGAGGCCCAGGGAGATTGACTTACCCAAGGTCACACAGGGGATAAGTATCAGAGGCAGGGTCTGAACTCACTCCTAGCTCCAGAGCTAATGATTCTTCTATTGTCTATTGATGTATTCTTGCAAGTCCCCTGCACCTCCACGACCCCCACCACCCCACCATCGCCACCCCAAAATAACAGTGAGTCAGGTCAATCAGGTGAAATGAAAGACTTCTCTTCTTTTTTCTCATTATGTATAGGATAAGACCTGGGAAGAAGTTCTGGAAAGACATGAAAAGCTTCCTAGTGAGCCAGCAGACTTGAGAAAGCAGCAGGAAGCTGTGTGGGAACTCTTCACCAGTGAATGCACCTATTATTTAGACCACTTGCTAGTTCTTAAGATGGTAATGCTCTATTTTGCTTCATTAACAAATTCAAAATGTTCCTTTAACTCCTTGGGAGTCAGCTTTGCTATTACAGAGAGTTAGGTCATTTCATTAAATTTGGAGAGGATTTATGATGCCTACAGTGTGCATGGCACTGTGTTAAGTGCTAGGAATTAAATATTTCCTGATCCCCAGAAACTTACATTCTATGGGAGGAGGTGCTCAGGTTGGTAAATGTAAAATACAGAAAATCAATAAAGAGTAATTTTGAGGAGAGACTTCTAACACAGCTAAGTGGTGCAGTGGGTGGAGTGTAGACCTACAGCTGGGTTCAAATCCAACCTCAGACACTTAAAAGCTGCATGAGCCTGGGCAAGTTACGTAATCTGTGTCTACCTCAGTTTCTTCATCTGCAAAATGGAGATAGTAATAGCACCTATCTGACAGGGTTGTAGTGAGGATCAAACGAGATCTTATTTTAAAGCATTTTGAAAACTTTAAAGTGCTACATAAGTGTTAACTGTTCTCAGCTAAGAAATCAAAGAGGGTCCTTTCTAAAAAATCACATAAACTAAACCTTGAAAGCAAAGAGAGACTAGAGGCAGTGTGGCATAGAGATTAGAAATCTGACCTCACGGGACAACTAGGTGACACAGTGGATAGAGGTCCAGCCTTGGAGTCAGGAGGACCTGAGTTCAAATCCGGCCTCAGGCACTTGATACTAGCTGTGTGACCCTGGGCAACTCACTTAACCCCAACTGTCAGAAAGAAAGAAAGAAAGAAAGAAAGAAAGAAAGAAAGAAAGAAAGAAAGAAAGAAAGAAAGAAAGAAAGAAAGAGAGAAAGAGAGAAAGAAAAGAGAGAAAGAAGAAAGAAAGAAAGAAAGAAAAAGAAAGAAAGAAAAAGAAAGAAAGAAAGAAAGAAAGAAAGAGAGAGAGAAAGAAAGAGAGAAAGAAAGAGAGAGAGAAAGAAAGAAACAGAATGAGAGAGAGAAAGAAAGAGAAAACGAGAGAGAGAATGAGAGAGAGAGAGAGAGAGAGAGAGAGAGAGAGAGAGAGAGAGAGAGAGAGAGAGAGAGAGAGAAAGAAATCTGGCCTCAGAATGAGAAAGATCTGGTTTCCTCTGACACATACTGGCCATGTATTCCTGGCCAAGTCACTTAACCTCTCATTGCCTTCGAGGTAACTCTCTGAGGCTGTGAATTGTAGAGAAGGTGCCAACCTGGATTGGTAAAGGAAATTTGGTCTTCTGGGAGTTCCCTATCCCAACGACATTATAGGTCTAGGTCTATCCCTAAGAATTTCAAGAGGTAAAGATGAGAAAAAGAGCATTCCTACAGGTGGGTCAGCCTGGCAAAGGCATGGAGAAAAGAAATAGAATGTCATATACTATAAACAGTAAGCACCACTTTAAACTGCAGTTTCCTCATCTGTAAAGTGATGATAACAATACTTAGAGTACCTATCTACCTCACAGGCTTACCGTTGGTACCAAATGAGCTAATGTATTCAGAAAACTTCATAAAAATCAATGTTATATGATTAATAAGAAGGAGAAAGCACTGATAGGGTCATAGATTTAAGGCTGGAATGACCTTTGAAGTCATCTGGTTTACTTCCCTCATTTTACAGAGTTACTGGATTTAGAGTCAGAGGATGTGAGTTCAAATCCTGGCTTTGTCACTCTAGGGTCATGACCCTGGGCTTATCACATGTTATCACTCTGAGCCTCAGTTTCCTTACCTATAAAATTAGGAGATTGGAACAGATGACCTCCAAAGTCCATTCTCATTCTAAATGCAGGGAATGTAGAGAGGATGTTTCCTAGTTTGTAGGCAAGGGAATGAAGACAAAGAAAGTTTATATTCCCCCGTTTGGATTTAGTAATAGATACAAGAAGAAATCTGAGGTGGTATGTGCTAGAGACCTAAAATCCATTCCCTTTTTCCTTGAGTACACCATCAGCCAGCCCTCATTAGCATGCAGATCTCCATATCAAAGAGTGGGATCTGAATATATTCCACAATGCTAAAATGGGACCATTTGAATTCAGTAACTTTCTAAAATCCTGAAAATTGTTTTTTAAGTCAATGCAAAGGAACACGAAGTGCACCAATCTCTCAAACAGGAGTCTTCAGACATATAAAGCAGGAATAATGGGCGTTTCTCTGGGGTTTTTCTTAGGTCTTTATGAATACACTCAAATACCTTCAAAACTATGAATGCCTCTTGGATGTGGACTTATGGAAACTTTTTGCTAACCTTGAAGAATTAAGTCAGGTAAGGAAATGATAGGAAGAAAAACTGACTCAGGCAAACTGTGGCACAAAGATAATTTGTTACAACTCATGGAAAGTACTTTAAGATGTCAAGCTTTTATCCATTTCAGTGGGTGGAATTCTACAACATGCATGCCACAACTCCTTTCTTTCCTTGAAAATGTGTAGCACTATGGCTGCAGATATGGCTGTCATGTGCGATTGATTTTACTTAATCTTTTTTCTTTGTTGCAAGAGCAGGATTGTTGAGACAGGAAAGGGGGAGGGAAAAGTTTATACAAAAATGGCAATTATTTGAAAAAAACACAAGTTATCAATAAAACAAGAAAATACAAACAATATTTCAGTTTGCATCAGTATACAGGGATGACCAGCTATTCCCAATCTCTTCTAGCAAAGCAATGGGGCTCCATGCCAGAAGGCATAGCATCATGGGTATGCTGGTAAATGTTTAACAGCCGGCTCTCCAAGAGGAAAAAAGTACACTAGACACATTTTTAATTTTATCTGCATTATTATCATTTTCTCCATCACTTTTTTAAGAACAGACAATCAACAAAACAATAAATCAAGCCCTGAGTTGTAGCATTAGCCAATTTCTGAAGTATAAATGCTCATATTGAAAATTTAAAAATCAACTCTTATGAGCCAGTGGAAGCAGTGAGCTGGCACATCACTGTATGGGATCATAGAGTTAAATTTAGAAGGGGGACTGAGAGTAGTCTAACCTCCTCATTTTACAAAGTGAGGCTAAATATATTCAATAATTTGTCCAGGGTCACAAATTACCAAGCATCTGAGGCACCATCGGTGACTCCAGGCCCAGAGCTCTATCATTTTAGACACCTGCCTAAGAGGGCAGCTAGGTGGCTCAGTGAATAGAGAATTGTACCTGGACTCAGATTCAAATCCAGCCTTAGACACTTACTAGCTGTGTGATCCTAGGTAAGTCACTTAACCCTGTTTGCCTCAGTTTCCTCATCTGTAAAATGAGCTGGAGAAGGAAAAGTCCAGGATCTTTGCCAAGAAAACCCCAAATGGGGTCATGAAGAGTCAGACATGACTGAAGAGCAAAAGAAACCTAGCTAAGAGTCTGTTAAATGCCAAGGTCTGTGTTAGGTACTAGGAATACAAAAACATAAATGAAATAGTTCCTGCCCTCAAGGACTTTGCATTCTCCAATGGAATATATAATATATGGAACTCATACATTGCTGTGGGAGCAGTATTATAGATGTTTACATATGGACAAGCGGTTGAATAATTCAGTCTTGCAATTTGACAGTGGGGTCTGAGGTTAAGGAGACACTGGTTGGTTTTGGCCAACTTGGGAGGAGAGGGTAGGCCTACCCCTCCCCCACCCCATCATCTTAGGAATGGGATGATTTAGGAAAACAAGAAGGGCATTGTGGTGTTCAGGTCTAACGTAATTCTATTTTGTGAGATGGAATCCATTGCACAAGGCTGCGAGTATTAATTACCCTTCCTTCTTGCGCTTATTCCATATCCCCATATTTAAGTAATATTTAAGTAACTAGAAACACATCCCAAAGATTGCCATCACACATCAAAAGACTGTATTCCAAAGTGAATGAGCTCTCTTAACATAGATCTTTCCCTTAAAAATAATAAACCAGAAGAAGATCAAAGAGTGCTGATTCCTATCAGTGCCTTATGCGTCCAAGTGGAAAACTACCACTGTTGTCTTGGCAGTAACCATCAAGAAGGGTCACTTCCATTCATCGAATTTATATTCTTCAAGCCTGAGCTTCAGGTCACAACAAGGTCAAGGTCATCGTCTATCCCTTTGTCTGCCTTCAGGTCAGTCTTGGCTTCCTGAGCTGTTTTTTCAGCACCATCAAGGACTATATAAATTCATCTGGCTCTGCATCCTCCATGGATTTCATCTCTGTGCTCTCCAAGGTAAAATATCTTGACATCCCCAATGGAGTCTCCATGTAGACCCTTCCCCTCTTCCCTGAGAATTGTTTACATTCCTAGATTTTTGCAGAGTGAAAAAAAAAATCACCCCGTCTCCACCCCCTTCTCCCTAATCAAAACTGCCAAATGTAATCTGCAGACAGGTTCACCTTCCCACTGTGCTTATCTTTGGGGCGTACTTATTAACATACAAATCTGAGTGCCTGGAAAAAAACATCTCCCAGTTTGTGAAATGACTTCAATTTTGAGCAATATTCAGGGCAAGAATTTTGAGTTCACTAATTACATGGTTTACTTGGTCTTCTGAGAAAAGTGGCAGCTTCTCCCAGGGAAACAAAACAAAACTTCAAATCCATCAAAGCCCCTGGTGATTCTGCTGTTGTGTTTGGTGTAGAGGGGAAAAGTTGAGATAAAAAGAAAAAGAAACCATAATTCTACCATTAAAGATACTCTCGGTTTTTTCTAAGCAAATGCTGAGAACACACACACACACACACACACACACACACACATCCATAATAATAATAGCTAGCATTTATATAGCAATTTAAGGTTCACAAAGCACTTCATAAATATTATCATGTTTGATCCTCGAAATACTGTGAGGTAGGGGCTAGTTATTATCCTCATTGTACAGGTGAGGAAACTGAGGCAGAGAGACTAATTGATTTCTCCTGGGTCTTATAAATGTAAATGTCTGAGGTGGCATTAGCAATCAGGCCTTCCGAATCCGGGTTCAATTATCTATTGACTGAGCCACCTACCTACCCAAGAGTGTTAAATGCAGTTCTTACTTTAGATTTTGTATTTTTAAAAATATTCTTGAGGCAGCTAGGTGGAGCAGTGGATAGAGCTGCAGCCTTGGAGTCAGGAGGACCTGAGTGCAAATCTGGCCTCAGACACTTGATACTTAACTAGCTGTGTGACCTTGGGCAAGTCACTTAACTCTGATTGCCTATCCCCCCCCAAAAAATATTCATTGATGAGCTGGAGGCAATTAGAACAGTGGAAAGAGCACTGGCCAATCACAAGGCCTGGTATACAGTAGATACTTAATAAATCCTCATTGATTAATTGAATGATTGGTTGGACTGGGAATCAGAAGCCCTGGGTTTCAATCCCGGTTCTGCTACTTAGAAGTATGTTATCTTATAAAATAAAGACCTTGAAGCAGAGGTAGCAAGGCAATAGAAGAAGACAGAGGGCTTCACATGGAATAAGGGATATCTGGATTCGAAGGATGCCTCAGATACCCGCCAGATTTGCAAAACAGGCAAGCCACTTACCAATCTGGGCTTCTGTTTTCTTAAACATAAAATGAAGGACTCTTAAGGTTGATGACATCTTAAGTCCCTTCCAATCTGAATCTATGGTCTTATGAACTGCTCAACACCATTGACTTTACTCAGATCCTGTGTGCTCATAGACTAAAATATTGGAGTTAGAATAATTCCCTTCCTTCTCTTAGTCAGCATTTGTTAAGCACCTACTATGTGCCAGGCACTGTACACACAAAGAAAGGAAAAATCACGGTCCCTGCCCTCAAGGAACTTACAACCTAACTGGGGAGACAACGTGGTAACAACTCTATGCCAATAAGCTTTAGACTGGAGAAGTTGGTGTGAACAGAGGGAAGGAAGGTGACTTCTCCTTAGGTGACAGGGATGACACTGAGCTTAAAACCTGGCTCGTGCTGGTTTTCACCATCTTCTGCTTCCTGCTCTTGCCAGTCTTGCCATTTGCCCATCATCACCTCCTTTCCCCTAATGCTCAAGTCAAATCGATTTGTCCAGGTCTTGATTAAGTAGGCCTCCTATTGCCATGTTATCTTCAGTAGCCTCCATCTCAGGGCCATCTATTACAAGGGGTCATATAGAATATTATAAACATTAGAGGACATTATGGACATCATGAGGACATTAGAGATCACCTCATTCTGCCTTATTTTATCGATAAGAAAAATAGTTGCCCAGAGAGTTTAATTAATAATAATAATAATGATAGCTAACATTTGTATTTCACATACTATGTGCACTAAGAGTTTTACAATTATTATCTCATTTGATTCTCACAACAACCCTGAGAAGTAGGTGCTATTATTATCCCCATTTTACAGATGAGGAAACTGAGGCAAACAGAGGTTAAGTGACTTGCCCAGAATCACACAGCTTTTAAGTGTCTGGGGCTACATTTGAACTCAGGCTCAACACTCTACCCACTCCAGTGACTGCCTTCAAAAACTCAAACCCTAACAGAAATATGAGCTGTTGTTGCCCACAGTAGCATTTGAACATCATGAAAAGGAAACCGTAATCACATATGTGCCCACTTAGATTTATGAAAGATGGCTTTGCTCAAAGCCTCAACTCCTGTAAGAGCATTTTGCTCTTACAGCATTTCTGAGGGTGCCTCTGTCAGAGCCACCAGATTTACTGCCTTAATTATACCTCCACAGGATCCATGTCTTATCTTTTATATCCCCACTTAGTGCCTTTTTAAAGTGCCTTGACTATGTGCTGGTACAGGAAAGATTTTTGTGATTCCCATCTCACATTCCTGGTATGAGAACTCCCTCCACTAAGGCAGATCACCAGCCATTGTGACATAGTAGATTATGGGACCACAGACTGAGAGACAGTCATTTAGTCCATGATAAAGATGAAAAAACTGAGACTCAAAAAGGTGAAGTTGCTTCCCAAAGTCACAGGGCTGGACAATGAACCAAGGTTAACAAATATAGCATCTTTTCCACGGCAGTCTACTGTCTCCCTAGATACATCCTTTGGAGGTACCTGAGAATCATTGAGCTTCAGTAACTTGTCCAGGGTCACATGAAGTAAGTGTCCAAGGCCAGGTCTGAACCATCTTCCTACCTCCCAGCCCAGGACATGGCAATCTTGACTCTCTTGTGCCTTGAGCATAACAAACACTTAAAGAAACATTTACTAAGCAAATGGAAGACTCTTATTTATACCCATTTGAATAGGGTCAGGCTGTCTGGAGTTTTCCTTGGTCTGGACTTTGGGGTTTAATTGGTAGAGAGAACTCCCAGTAAGCAAGGTCAGCCACTGTTCTCCAGTCTGTAGCTTAGAAAGTTGCACAAGTCATTGAAAGGCACCATGAGTTACCCAGGGTCATACAGCCAGGACTCAGACCCAGGACTCTGAGGCCCGCTCCCTGTCCACTCTATGATGTTGCCTTTCTTCCCACAGTCATGGATTATTTGCTCATGGAACTGAGGTTCTGCATTTTGCTCTTCCAGCACTTCCGAGGACGCCTCTGTCAGAGTCATCAGATTTACTGCCTTAATTATACCTCCGCCATTTTCTATCTTGAGAGCTTGAGACAGAGGGAAGACTTCGGAATCTATTTAAAGGTGATGTGAGCCTTGATTTCTCTTTCTGCATTGTCCTCCCTTGTTCTAAAGCTCTTTGAGGCTGGTGGAAAATGGGGATTGATAGTGACTGTATTTAGCAAAGGTGAGGAGAAAGGAATTCAGATAAATAAGTCAAATACAGCAAGAAACCATAACAGGAAGGAAGGAAGGGAAAAAGGAAGGGAGGGAAGAAGGGAGGAAAGGAGGAAGAAAGGAAGAGAGGGAAGGAGAGAGGAAAGGAAGAAGGAAAGAAGGAAACAAAAGACGGAAGGAAGAAAGGGAGGGCAGGAGGAAGAAGGAGGAAAGGAGGAAGGAGAGAAGAGAGGAAAGAAGGCAGGGAGGGAGGAGAAAAGGGAGGAAGGAAAGGAGGGAGGGAGGAAGGAAAGAAGAATAACATCTTAGGGAATGGGGAGAACATCCAAAATGTCTCCTGAATTGTGGACTGCCATCTTCCTCCCCTCCCTATCTTTCTCTTCTTCCCCTTCCTCTTCTCTTTCCCCTTCCCTCATCCCTTCCTCTCCCCAGGAAGACATTAAGTGGAACCCCAACTCAAACCCAGGTCCTTTGACTCCAAATCTATTCCTTTTTCCAATAAACTGGTAGAATCAAGCAAGTAACAGATGGCCTGATTCAGTCAGTGCTTAATTAATGGGTGCTTTGATTGATCGAGACAGTCTTGTTTTGGTCCTTTAGAGTTTGGAAATACATTTGGGAATTATGGGCAGGAAGGTGGGAGAAGAGACCAGAACTATACCTCAGGACTGAGCAGAGAGAACCCAGGTCTAAGAGGCCGGCAGTGATCTTCTCAGCTTAAATCTCACCTTCTGCTACAGGCCTCTCCTGGTCTCCCTAACTGCAAGTGCCTTCTCCTCTTAGACTGCCTTCCTTCTTCTCTGTCTATACCTTCTATGTGTCTAGTTTTTTGCATGTTGAATCCCTCATTAGAACGTTAACTCTTCTTTTTTTTTTTTAAGGCAATTGGGGTTAAGTGACTTGCCCAGGGTCACACAGCTAGTAAGTGTCAAGTGTTTGGTCTGAGGTCAGATTTGAATGCAGGTCCTCCTGACTTCAGGGCCGGTGCTCTATCCACTGCACCGCCTCGCTGCCCTAGAACATTAGCTCTTTAAGGACAGGGGCCACGTGCTTTCTTTATATCCCCAGTAATTACTATAGTGCCCGGTGCTGAGCAAGCACTTAATAAATGTTTGTTGCCTGACTGGGTCTCCAAAAGTGTGGGTTTGAAGAGGTGGATGCTTCCAAGTGCAGTCTGGGCAACTGGATATTGGGATTCCCAGAAGAACAGGGGGTTAGGCAGGGAAGAAACCAGGAGACACTGAGGGCAAGATGACAGGTATGTGCAGGGGCCTGGTCCTAGGGGTACTCTTACTCTCTTAGCTTGCTGCTTCCTTCCCTGTTTGCTTTTCCAGGTATGGGTTCCAGAGCATTAGAGGAAGACTATTTCCTACTAACAATGGTTAGACTTTGTGGAATAGTAGACCTGAAACTTTTAGGGGCAGCTAGGTGGCACAGTGGATAGAGTGCTGGGCCTGGAGTCAGGAAGATTCCTCTTCTTGAGCTCAAATCCAGCCTCAGACACTTACTAGTTGTGTGACCCTGGGCAAGTCATTTAACCCTGTTTCCCTCAGTTTCCTCATCTGTAAAATGGGCTGGAGAAGGAAGTGGCAAGCCACTCTAATATGTGTTTACCAAGAAAACCCCGAATGGGGTCACAAAGAATCAGATATGACTAAAACAATCAAACAACAAAAGACCCGAAGCTCAGCATTCTCTGGCTTCACTTCCCCACGATTTTCTCTAAGTCTGCAGAGTGATTTTCCAGGGCTGGGTCAAAAGCCTTTTGTTGGGTTTCATTCTAGGAGTGGGGATGGAGGTGGGGAGGGGAGGGCAGGCAGGAGGAGTGATCCAAGGCTTTCCAGAAAAAAAGCAACCCTTCCCTGCAGCTGCAAGAAAGCCTTTGCCAACAAATCACCTTGGAGACTTGAGGGGAGGGAGGGAGGGAGAAAGTCTTCTGATGTTTGTTGAGCTATTGATGTGCTGAGAAACCCTCAGTGGATTCATGAGGCCACAAGAGAGAGACCTTGGGAAGAAGCCTGACCCTTCCTTCCTTCACATTCACAGCATTTCAAGGATTTGACAGCTCCAACCAAGGCCATTAGAGCTTCCCAAATTAGAAATGACATCATCCTGTTGACAAAATTCTCCCCTTGGTTGGGCGCTAGACTGCAGCATTTGCTCAGCCTTCCAGGCCAAGGGTGAGGGACTCATTGAACAAGCCCCCGCCTCAACCGCTTTCCTAATCTCCTTGAAAGCTAGCTTTTGTGGGTCTCCAAGGATCATGGGATCACCGATTTAGAGCCAGAAGTCCATTTCAGCCCGGGTCTTCTGACTTCAAACTCAGCCCTCACACATTTTATTCTGTTTCTTTCAGGGGAGGGAAGCCCAAAGCTTGTGACAACATCAAAATCAAAAAGTCCATAGGATTTTAGAGGAGGGAAGAGATGTAATAGGAGGATTATGGGTAACATTGCCAATACTTCACTGGCAGCTCTGGGGACCCAACCTATGAACTAGTGAGCGTCCAGTTGGGGAAGCATCACAGAAGGGCTGAGGGGGATTCAAACCCTAGCTTAGACACATATTGACGATGTGTCCCAGGGCAGATAACTTAACTGCTCTCGGTGTCAGTTAACACATCCATAAGACGGGGGTGATAGCAACATCTTCTTCACACATTGTTGTAAGGATCAAATAAGATAATGCCCGTAAAGTGCTTTATAAACCTTAGAGCAGCTTGAGTCAGGAAGGCTCATCTTCCTAAGTTCAAATCTGGTCTCAGACACTTAATAGCTGTGTGCAAGTCACTTAACCCTATCTGCCTCAGTTTTGTCATCTGTAAAATGAGCTAGAGAAGGAAATGGCCAACCATCCCAGTAAGAAAACCCCAAATGGGGTCACAAAGAGTCAGACATGACTAAAAAATGACTGATAGACAACAGGATGGAAGGACCAAAGCCATCTGTCTCCATCCATAAAATAGGGTTAATTTATGTGAGCCTTACATCTGCAACAGATGTAGGGATCTGAACCCACCCAGGATTTCATCACAGAGGAATGTATTGCTCTTGGGCTGTCTCCTATGACTGGAATGCTGTCCCTCCTCACTTTCTCTCAGTTTCTTTTGTCATCTTTGAAGGCCACTCAAATCCCACCTTCTGCAGGAGGTCTTGCCTAGTCTCCTCCATTGCCATCCCATCTCCCCTACTACTAGGGCCTTCCCTCTTAGATTGCCTTCCAAATACTCTCTTTTTCTCTCTGTGTATGTATATACACACGTACATATATTTATTTATTTATTCATTCATTCATTTGTTTATTTATATGTTGTCTCCTCCATCAGAATGTAAGCTTCTTGAGGGAGAGGAGCATTTTGCTTTTGTTTCTACTCTTTGTATGCCTAGCACGTAGTACAGTGCCTAGCACACAAATGACCAGCTAACATGTAGGTCCAAGAAAGCATTTTACCCTATTTTAGAACAAGTAAATTGGGACAGGTGAATGTTCATTCTCATGTTTGATCTAAGTATGAATTCATCGGTCCTAGCATCCCTAGCCTTGCCCCTAGGACACAGCCAACTGGGGCCATGATCTAGGCTCATATACTCTGGGGGCTTTCTCATTTGCTTCAGGAAGTGACCACAGCTACAGAGGGACCCATGAGAAGACTAATTCAATCTGATTCAACCAATATTCATTCAGCAGGTATTGTGTGTGTATAAGGCAGTTGTTAAGGGGATAAGAGCAGTAACTTTATATTCAGAAGACCTAGGTTGAAGTCCCAGCTCTCATTGATGACCAGAGTGACTTTGGCCAAGTCATCTCCCTGGGTCTAAGTTTCCTCATCTGTCCAATGAAGACGTTGGACTAGATGACCTCTGAGGTCCCCTTCATCTCTAAAACCCTATGATCTGATAATCTTTCTAGAATAACACAAAGAGTGGCCTGTAGATGCTATGGCTGTCAATCACCAGTAAATAAAAGCTAGAGGGGACAGCTAGGTGGCACAGTGGATAGAGCTCCAGTTTTGGAGTCAGAAGGACCTGAGTTCAAATCTGGCCTCATACACTTGACACCTACTAGCTGTGTGACCCTGGGCAAGTCACTTAACCCCGATTGCCTCACCAAAAAAAATAAATAAATAAATAAATAAATGGATGAATAAAAACTAGAGGTTCCCCCTGTTCCCTTTTGATCAGTGGAGGCTCCAAAGAGTTTCTTGCAGGTGTGGCCAGGGAAGGGATCTTCGAATCAGCCACCCTCTCTGCTTTGTGTTCTGCAGTGGTGTGAGAGGCATGATCAGTGCAAACGACTCCACCTCCCTGAACTGCTGGTGACTCCCCTGCACCGACTGACCAGGTACCCATTGCTCCTGAAGAACATCTGGAAAAGGAGTACCAATGCCAGGGAGAAAATTACCATCTACTCCCTCAAGGAAAAAGTGGAGAAGGCGATTCGTAAGTAACAGGGGCTTGTGATAACAGGAAGTTGCCTGAGCTCTCTACAGATGAGAGGAATAGAATCACCATGGAAGGAATATCATATTTAGAATGAGCAGCCCCGCATAAACATTCTGACTCTACCATTTACGGTCTGTGTGACCTTGAGCAATCACATCTCCCTGAGCCTCAGCCTCCCCCTCTGTAAAATAAAGGACTTAGATGGTCTCTGAGGTCCCTTCCCATTTTCAGTCTATGACTTTGACTTCAATGGGCCTCAGTTTCTCCCTTTGTAAAATGAAGGTGTTGGATTTGAAGACCTCTGAGTTTCCTTCTGTCTCTAGAACTGTGATCCAGTGGACTCCAGATTAACATCCCTCCATTTTTTTTTCCTAGAGGACATAACAGAAGCTCAGAGAGGCAAAGGGAATAAGAGTTTGAGGGATGATTTGAACCCAGGTCTCCCCAATTCCAAGCCCAGAATTCTATTTCCATGACTCTAGACTGCTACTTTCTGAGGCAGGGAACCCAATCCTAGTCCTTGAGCTCACCTTCCCTAGAAAAGAAGGCCAGTAACTCAAGGTCATTTCAAGCAGGGGAATTCCTTGGAGCTAGGAAACTTGGATGGAAGTTTGATCTCCTCATGAATCAAAGATGCTCAGAACAATGGGCCTGAGTCATATCCTCTCTGACCCCGTAAGAACTCAGGTACCGCATTACCCAGATGGTTTGATCCCTAGCTCAGATTTTCAGATGTGAATGGAAGCAGGAAAAGCATCACTTCCCAGAGGATTGAAGGTACTTTGTTTATAACTTCCAAGTGAAAACCCTGCAAAGCTGGTAAGAATCAACAGTGCTTCCTGAGGATATAGATTGATTTGTCATTTTGCTTAAGTCACTAAAATCCTCAAATCCTGGTTTACCCTTGCCTAAAGTCTCAGGATGTGAACTAACCATTCAAGACACCTAAATCCCTCTGTAAGCTAGAGCTGCCCTCCCATTCTCAGACTATGCTCCCCTCTCTGCATCTATACTCCAGACAAACTCAGCTGCTCTCTCTCTTCCCCATAAACACATCTCATGGCATGGGTCTTAAGATTTAACTAAGTCTAAGCACAGCCTGGCACATAGTAGGTATTAATAAATGCATATTGATTGATTGACTAATGGTGTGTCTAAGGCTTAGCACAGTGCTTGGCACATAGTAGGTACTTAATAAATGCATATTTGACTAGTGTGTCTAAGGCTTAGCACAGTACCTGGCACATAGTAGGTTCTTGATAAATTTTTATCGATTAATTGTCTACCTCAATGCCCCTTACACAGCACATAGTAGGTGCTTGATAAATGTTTATCGATTAATCGTCTACCTCAATGCCCCTTACACAGCAGCAGGACACAGTACAGGCACTCAATAGATGTTTGCTGATTGAATGATTGATTGATTCTGTCTTTGCTCATGCTGTTCCCTTAAGAGATAATGAGATATCGTAGAGAGAGGGCTGAATTTGGAGATGAAGGACCTGAGTTCAAATCTAGGTTCTGACCCTCGCTACCTGGGTAATCTTGGTCAAATCACTTGATCTCCATTTCCTTATCTGGAAAATGAGGGATCAGACTTGAAACTGTCTGAGATTCCTCCCAGCTCTGACTTGATAACGCTATGACTTGGGAGTGAGAAGACGTGGACCTCATGTCCTGGATCTGACATTTATTTGTTATGGGACTTAGAAAGAGTCATTTTACCTCCATGGGCTTCAGGGTCCTCATCTGTCCACAATAAAAATATACAGGAAGTTGAATGAGATGCTTTCTAAAATTCTAGCTCTAATGCTCAATGATTACATGGATGAAATGAGTTCTTCCCTTTTCTTTCTCCTTTTCTTTTCTTTTTTTTTTTTTTTTTTGGTGAGGCAATCAGGGTTAAGTGACTTGGCCAGGGTCACACAGCTAGTAAGTGTCAAATGTCTGATGCCAGATTTGAACTCAAGTCCTCCTGACTCCAGGGCTGGTGCTCTATCCACTGCGACACCTAGCTGCCCCTCCTCCCTTTTCTTTTAAAGCCCAAATCAAACGCCACCTCATCTAGGAAGCAGTCCTTAACATAGGCTAGGGCTAAGCAGGCAGGCTGGTTCCATACCCAGAGTTGGAATTGAATGAGACCCTTGAAGTGTATCAGTTAACAAAAGGAGGTTTCCTTGGCCATTGAAAGGAGAACATTCAGAGCAGAGAAGAGCTATTCATTGAGAACACAGTTGATTCAGGTGAGCATAGCTCCCTATGCTGCTTTTTTTTTTTGAGACAATGGAGGTTAAAGTGACTTGCCTAGAGTCACACAGCTAGTAAATGTCTGAGGCTGGATTTGAACTCAAGCCCTCCTGACTCTAGACTGGTGCTCTCTATACCACCTAGCTGTCATGTAATATCCTTTTCTGTATAAGTGTTTGTTTTACAGCTATCTAATGAACTTCAGTAATCCTATGTATTCTAAGTAACTGAGTCTTACTCCCTTCTAGTCTGTATGTACCATGTCTTACCTAAATTCTATGCCTACCCCAGTGCCTAGAATGGGGTTCTGAACATTGGAGACCATTAATAAATGTTTACTGAATTTTTTAAAAATTGGAATTGAACCAAGCATGATAATGGATTGCATCCTCCTTTCTGTTTTCCATAATGGGAAATCCTGAATAAAATGAAGACATTCTGGGTGATTTATGCTAAGTGTGTTATGTGCTGGTCTCTCTCAGGAGTGTTCAGATGGGATATAGCTCTCCAAAGTTCCCCAATTAGCTGCTGTACAAAGCCGCTATTACTCTTATTGTTGTCAATTCCCTTTTGAGAGCTGCAAATGAAAATTAGCAAATTCTTTTTTTTTTCTAATCTTGAAGATTTGTTTTCCCTTTCTATTTCCAAAGGGTCCAAGGGATTGAAATAAATTTCATCTAGTCAAGGAATAAAAAGAAATTTGTTGAGATGTTCTATGCAGTGGTTTATAAGAAAATTCTTATATGAAGGATTGGGATAGGTTTTTGAGGGAGATGTCAGACCTTTCTCTGGGGGCCCCTTAATACAGGGTGATTTCTTATCGATCTGATATGATGTCAAGTATAGTTTTGTCCATTAAAAGTGGTTTCATCTCACTAGGATGATGAATCAATTTCTGAAACTTCCCACTGGTCTTATGGGCCAGTGGGTCTATGAACTGTCCTCCATCTCTTCAAATGAGTTTACATCATCCCATATCTTTGAAAGCAATAGAAATGGAGTCTTGAGAAATGAATATAAACACACTAGGGAAAAAATAATGGATTAGTTTCAACCTGTTATCCCCCCAACGTAAAAATATCGATTGCGTCATTACCTCCAATATTTGTATTTCTCTAATTTGGAAACATGTTTTCCCCCAAGGGAGAGCAGATAGCCCCTATGGAATGACATCAGTATTACTTGAGTAACAATACATAATTCATCTCCCATTTGCTGAACTGTGTTAGTAAAGACTTATTGCTCTCAACAAGAGACTAAGTTTAGATCAGCAAGTTTCTTCCTTTGGCATGTAAAAAACAATCAATATTCTAAAGATGCCAAAGAGGCCAAGAGGTCAATGGGGCGTGGCTTAGGCAGAGATCACCCCGAAGTCCAAGTATCAACATTTATCATGCCCTTGGATGTGAAGTGCACATGTTAAAAGGGCTTATTCTTCTCTTTTAGGTGACCTTGAAGGGAAAGTGAAATGGCTTGACAATTTCCAAAAGTTTCGGCACCTCCAGGAGATCATAGTGTGGCCTCCACTTTGGGATCGAGATAAAAGGTTCTTCATACCAGAGGTAGGCCCACTAGGCCTGACATCCTTTCCCCTGTGCGTTTGTCCTTCTAGGGGAAAATTCTCCATTAGTTTCCTTGCTACTGAGGAGTAAAACAGACTGGATTGTCCCCAGGAATTTCTAGACCCTGGGCAAGCACCCCAAACCATGTCCAAGGCAAGTTACATGAAAGATGCCCTCATTAGGTGGTGTAGGACATCACATTATTATAGGAAGACAGGGATTGGAAATCAGTGTGGTATAGTGAAAAGACAACTGGTTCTGGAGGTAGAGGAGCTGAATTCAAATGCTACTTCTGTATCTTAATATCTGAGTGACCATAGGCAAATCTTAAACCTCTCTGGGCTTCAGTTTCCTCATCTATAAAATGAGAGTATTGGATTAGATCAAGGGTTCATAATCTGGGGTCGACAAACTTGTATGGTTTTTTCAAAAATAATTTGATAAATGTATTTCAATATAGTTTCATTTCCTTTTTAGTTCTATTTATTTTGTTTTATGAATTAAAAAACACGATTCTGAGAAGGGGTCCACAGGCTTCACCTGACCATGACTAAAGTATACATGGCACACTAAGAATCCCTGGACTACATGGTTTCTGAAGACCCTTTTCGCTCTAACTCTATGGTCCTATGTCCTTCTGGGACATTGGGATAACACTACTGCTAGGGAACTTGCCACAGAGGGTGGAATGGGGGAGGATCCCTCTCCAGCAAACCAAAGGACTCCAGCACCCTGGAAATATGGCACCCTGGAATAAAGCCCCAGGTACTCTGTCCTAGTTACAATTCTGCAGGTGAGAATTCTGGGCCAATAGTATGCCTTCCATCTAAGGGTTATCTTGTATGGGGAAGGCAGATAGCTTATAAGATTTATTGAATGTATGTTTCTTTCTGGAGTTATAAAACCACTGGCAAACAGTTCCCAACAGATGGCATGTGGAAAGTATTTAGCACAGTGTCTGTTATATAGCAGGCACTTAGTAATTCTTGTTTCCTTCCCCCTCCTCCTTTTCCAAAGTATCCCATGGTGCATGGCTTGGTATCGCACTAGCTTAAGTTTCTGTAGTTGGGATGTTCCTCTTCTATGGGCTTTCTGTGAATCTCTCTCTTGTTTTTGAAGTGCCTGAAACACATTTTTAAGGAACACATGGCAGAAAACATCTTGTCACCAGCCAACAGATGCCTCCTTCATGAGGGGAAGCTGACTCTAGCAGGTAATGAACTGTTTTCCTTAAGTTACCAACACTTTCTGCTTAGGAGTTGGTAAGAAAATCTGGCTGCTTGGTTTGGTCTCCATTTTGGGGAGAAGAGGAGTAGAACTTGGGGCAGCTGGGTAGCACAGTAGATAGAGCATTGGGCCCAGAGTCAGGAAGACCTCAATTCAAATCTGAACTCAGACACTCACTAGCTGTGTGACCCTACAACAACTCTGGGAGCTAGTCAAATCAAGTGAAGTAAGCCACATTTTGAGAAGGTACATGGCACAATGCCTAAAGTCAAGAAGACTCATCTTCATGAGTTCAAATCCAGCTTCTGATCCTTACTAGTTGTGTGACCCTGGGAAAGTCACTTAGCCCTGCTTGCCTCAGTTTCCTCATCTGTAAAGGGAGCTGGAGAAGGAAATGACAAACCACTCTAGGATCTTTGACAAGAAAACCCTAAATGGGGTCACAAAGAGTCTGACACAACTGAAATGACTAAACAAGAAATAGAGTCTGACTGTTTGTCTCACTGTGACACTGGGTAATCAATCCACTGAACCCAGAGTCAGGAAGACCTAAGTTTAAATCTCACCCCCAACATTTACTGGTTGTCTTACCCTGGGGAAGTTGCTTTGCCTCAGTTTCCCCATCTGTATAATGAAAGGGGAGATAGACTAGATGGTATCTAATGTTCCTTTCGGCTCTCAATCTGGCTTGATGAATCAAAGTCCAACACTTTATGGGACTCTTAGGGTTCAAATTTCATCTTAGATATTTACTAGCTGTGTGACCCTGGACAAGTCACTTAACTTTTCTGTGCCTCTGTCATCTGTAAAATGTGAGGATTAGATTTGAGTCTCTCCTAGCTCTAAATCTATGATTCGATGATCTTATTCCTTTCTTTTTTCTTTTTTTGGCTAGGCACGGGGTTAAATGACTTGCCCAGGTTCACTCAGCTAGTAAGTGTCAACTGTCTGAGGCTGGATTTGAACTCAGGTCCTCCTGACTCCAGGTCAGTGCTCTATCCACTGAGCTACCTAGCTTCCCCCAATGATCTTATTAAAATGTTGTGTGCTGTCGGTGTTATGGAATATTTCCTATTCAGGCACCACTTTCACCTCTGAGATTATATAAATAGGAAGGGGAAAGATTCACTGCATATATTACAGCACTGAGGATCCCAATTTAGAGCTGGAAGGGACCTCAGAGGTGAATCCTCTCATTAAACAGATAAGGAAACTGTGGCCCAAGAAGTAGCTTGCCCAAGGCCACATTTGTTTTTCAAAAGACCCTGGAGTGGTTTGCCATTTTTTTCCTCCAGCTTATCATACAGATGAGGAAACTGAGGCAAACAGGGTTAAATGACTTGCCCAGGGTCACACAGCTAGGAATGTCTAAGGCTAGATTTGAACTCAGGACTTCCTGACTCCAGGCCTAGTGCTCTATCCACTGTGCTACCTAGCTGCCCCCCAAGGGTCCCATAGGCAATAAGGAACAGAGTCAAGATTTGAACCCAGGTCCTTCTGACTCCTAAAATAAAACTTTCTTCACTCTATCTTTTTGCCTTTTAAAAAAAAATTACTTGGCCTCTTTAATTGGCCTTGTTTCCTTTAATCATAAGCCTCCTATTTTTTGGATATTCATATTAGAAGGAAATGAAAGAAAAAGGAAAAAAATAGCTGCTTGCATTAACAGCTATATCTTAGTTCACTGTTCTTGCAGTGAGGGGGAGAAAGAGGGGCCTCAAGATGCCCTTTGGGACCTGGAGTAGCCTGGTGTTAAATCCTGAGCTGAGCCTCCTGCAGGGGTCCTTGAGTCAGGACCTAGACTCCAGCAGAATCTGACCAGCCCAGGGAGGCCATGACCACTGTGGACCTCAGGAGGGCATTGGCCCTTGCTGTCCAGAACTCTTAAAAGAATAGAGCTATAGCAAGAGGAAGTGCTGAGAATGAAAGAATCCAAGTCAAAGGAAATAACACCCAGGAAAAGTCTGGGAAGGCTCATGGCTGATTTTCTGGTGCTGATTTTGTGTGTGTGTGTGTGTGTGTGTGTGCTGATTCAGACCTTTGGTGGCAACGAGTGCGACCGTCTCATCCCTAGGCTTAATAAAAGGATGGGAAGAGCAGGAGCTTTTACCAAGCTGAAACAAACAAAATGAATCTTCAAAGATTTCTTCTCTAAAAGCAGTATGTGATAGTAGATAGGGATGGCCTCAAGGGTTAGAAATACCTGGGTTCGAGTCTAGATTCTGACACAGACTGACTGTGTGTGATCCCAGACAAGTCACTCTAAGGCATCTCTCAGATTCTTAAATTACAGAGAAAGGGATGACTTGGAAATTCACTCAGACAATGAAATCACAGGTTCAGGCCTCTTCCTTCCCCTCCCCCAATTTATTTAATCCTTCCTAGCCTGACTACCAACCACACCCACCTATCCCCCAAAACATGCCTGACTTGGGAATCCTCTGGTCTCCTCTGTGTTTCTTGGAGACATCTATCATTTCCTGAAATGTTAAAAAAAAACAGCAGCAACAAAACACCGAGCCCAGGTTCACCTTTTTTTAAACACTGTGCTTTCTTGCTATCTTTTGTATTTAGTTAAGCCCATTTTGACAACAACAAAGTAAACAAACAAACAAAGATGTTCTCCTATAAAGGTCTCTTAGAATAGAAAGGAGGGAGCCAGCCTCAGAGCCAGGAAGACTTGGCTTCACATGGAACCTCTCACACATTCGGGTTGTGAGACTCAGGACAAGTCACTTAACTCCGCAGTGACCTGATCTGAGGGATTCCCTTTTCTTTCTCTCTTCTTACTGCTATAACTAACAATTCTATTACAATATTATACAACAGAGGTGATAACGGCCATTCGTGCTTTATCCTAATTATACTGGGAAAGCTTCTGGCTTATCCCCATTACAGATTACGCTTGCTAATGGTGTTAAATAAATATGACTTACCATTTTAAGGTAAGCTCTGTTCAGTCCTATACTCTCTACTGTTTTTAATAGGAAAGGGTACTGTATTTTGTTGAAGGTTTTTTCTGCATCTATTGAGATAATCATATGATTTCTGTTGGTTTTGTTATCAATATGGTCAATCATGCTCATAGCTTTCCTAATATTGAATCAGCCCTGAATTCCTGGCATAAATCCCACTTGGTCATAGTGTATGATGTTGTGATATATTGCTGTAATCTCTTTGCTAGTATTTTGTTAAAAATTTTGCATCAATATTCATTAGAGAAATTAGTCTATAATTCTCTTTCTCTGTTTTGGCTCTTCCTGGTTTAAGTATCAGCATCATTTTTGTGTCATAAGAGGAATTTGGTAGGACACTATTTTTCCAAATAGTTTATATATGGGGGCAGCTAGATGGCACAGCAGACAGAGCACTGGCCCTGGAGTCAGGAGGACCTGAGTTCAAATCCAGTCTCAGACCAAACACTTGACACTTACTAGCTGTGTGACCCTGGGCAAGTCACTTAACCCCAACTGCCTCACCAAAAAAAAAAAAAAAGAGTTTATATAGTATTGGAATTAAATTGTTCTTTAAATGTTTGGTAGAATTCATTTGTGAATCCACCTGGTCCTGGGGATTTTTTCGTAGGAAGTTCATTGATGACGTGTTCAATTTCTTTTTCTAAGATTGGGTTATTTAAGTATTTTATATCTTCTTCTGTTAATCTGGGTAATTTATATTTTTTGTAGATATTCATCCATTTCTTTAGATTGTCAAATTTATTGGCATATAATTGGGCAAAATAGCTCCTAACAATTGTCTTAATTTCCTCTTCATATGTGGTGAATTCGCCACTTTCATTTTTGATACTAGTAATTTGGTTTTCTTCTTTCCTTTTTTTAATCAAATTAATCAATGGTTTATCTATTTTATTGAGGTTTTTCACAAAACTAGCTTCTAGTTTTATTTTTTACTTTGATGGTTTTCTTACTTTCAATTTTACTAATCTTTCCTTTGATTTTCAGGATTTCCAATTTGATGTTTAATTGGGGATTTTGGGTTCTTTTTCTAGTTTTTTAAGTTGCATGTCCATTTCATTGATCTGCTTTTTCTCTATTTTATTGATGTAAGCAATCAGAGATATAAATTTTCCCCTAAGTATTGCTTTGGCTGCATCCCATAAATTTCGGTATGTTGTCTCATTGTTGTCATTTTCTTCAATGAAATTATAAATTATTTCTATGATTTGTTCTTTGACCACTTATTTTTTAGGATTAGATTATTTAATTTCCAGTTAATTTTTAATCTCTCTTTCCATTGTCCATTATTGCATTGCATTATGATCTGAAAAGGATGCATTTATTATTTCTGCTTTTCTGCATTTGGTTGTGAGGGTTTCATGTCCTAATATAATATATGATCAATTTTTGTGTAGGTGCCATGTACTGCTGTGAAAAAGGTATATTGCCTTCTATTCCCATTCAATTTTCTCCAGAGAGCTGTCATATCTAACTTTTCCAGAATTTTATTCACCTCCTTTACTTTTTATTTTTTTTTTGGTTAGATTTATCTAGTTCTGAGAGGAGAAACTTGAGGTCCCTCATTAGTATAGTTTTATTAATTCCTATAATTCATTCAACTTCTTAAAAAATGTAGATGCTATATCATTGGGTGCACATATGTTTAGTATTGATGTGACTTCATTACTATGGTTCCTTTTAACAAGATATAGTTTCCTTCTTTATCCCTTTTAATTGGATCTATTTTTGCTTTTGCTTTGTCCGAGATCATGATTGCTATCCCGGCTTTCTTTGCTTCAACTGAAGCATAATAGATTCTGCTCTAGCCCCTTACTTTTACTCTGTGTATATCTCTCTGTTTCATACATGTTTCTTGTAAACAACATATTGTAGGATTCTGGTTTTTAATCCATTATGCTATCTGCTTCTGTTTTATTTATCCCATTTACACTTACAGTTAAGATAACTAACTGTGTATTTCCCTCCATGCTATTTTTCTGTTGTTTATCTCTTTCTCTCTCTTACCCTCCCCGCCCTTTCCTGCCTCATGAAGGTTTTACTTCTCATCATCACCTTCCCCAATCTACCCTCCCTTTTAACAGTCCCCTTTCCCTCTTCCTTTATCCCCATCCTTTTCAACTGCCTTATATAGGCTAAGATAGATTTCTATATCCAACTCAGTGTGTATGATAGCCCCTCTTTGAGCCAATTTTGATGAGAGTAAGATTTAAGCTTTGTATGCCACACACACCCTCATCTTCCCCTCCATCCTAATAGCTCTTTCATGCCTCTCTTCTGTGGGGTAATTTACCCCTATTCAATTGCACCCCCCTCCTTCTTCTATTGCAATTCTCTTTCTCACCCCTTTATTTTGATTTTTGGGGTATCATCCCATTAAAATCACCTTATATCCACACCCACTGTCTACATATACTCCTAATTGCTCTTACAATAATAAAGTTGTTAAGAGTTACAAATATTATCTTACCATGTAGAAATATAAACAGTTTAACCTTATTGAATTTCTTTTGCTTTCTCTTTCTTGTTTCTTTTTTACCTTTTTATGTTTCCCTTGAGTCTTGTATTTGGAGGTCAAATTTTTTATTCAGCTCTGGTCTTTTAATATGAAATGCTTGAAAGTCCTCTATTTCATTAAATATCCATTTTTTCCCCCTGAAAGATTATATTCATTTTTGCTGGGCAAGTGATTCTTGGTTGTAATCCTAACTCCTTTGCCTTCCAGTGTATCATATTCCAAGCCCTCTAGTTCTTTAATGTTGAAGCTGCCCAATCCTATGTAATACTGAGTTTAGCTCCATAAAATTTGAATTGTGTTTTTGGATGCTTGCAATACTTTATCCTTGATCTGTGAGCTCTGGAATTTGGCTATGATGTTCCTGGGAGTTTTCATTTTAGGATCTCTTTCAGATGGTGATTGGTGGATTCTTTTAATTTCTATTTTGCCCTCAGGTTTTAATACATCAGGGCAGTTTTCTTTGATTCTTTGATTTTCTTTGAATTTCTGGAAAGATGTTGTCCAGGCTTTTTTTTTTTATCATGGCTTTCAGGTAGTCCAATAATTCTTATATTATCTCTCCTATATCTATTTTCTAGGTCAGTTGTTATTCCAACGAGAAATTTCATATTTTCTTCTTTTTTTCTTACTTTTTTGATTTTGTTTTATCATAACTTAATGTTTCAAAGACATTAGTATCCACTTTTTCACTTCTAATTTTCAAGAAATTCTTTTCTTTTTTTTTTTGCCAAGTCTTTTTTTTCAAGCTTTTATTTAGTATTTTATTTTTCCCCAGTTACATGTAAAAACAATTTCTAATATTCATTTTTAAAACTTTGAGTTCCAAATTCTGTCTCTAAGGAATTATTTTCTTCAGTGAACTTTTGTACGTCCTTTTCCATTTTACCAATTCTATTTTTTAGGGAGTTATATTCCTCAGTAAATTTTTGTATATCTTTTCTCATGCTATTGGCTCTTTTTTCACAATTCTCTTGCGTTACTCTCATTTCTTTTCCCAATTTTTCTTCTACTTCTCTAATTTGCTTTTTAAAATCCTGTTTAAGCTGTCCCAGCTTTTTGGGCCTAAGACCAAATTACATTTTACTTTGAGGCTTCACTTGTAGCTATTTTGACACTATTGTCTTCTTCCAAGTTTATACCTTGATCCTGTCACTATAGAAACTTTCTATAGTCAAGCTCTTTTTTTGTTTTGTTTTTTATTGGTAACTTGATGTTTTTATGTGAGAGTTGGGCTCTGGTCCTGCACTGTCCCAAGCTTTTTGTGCTGGGGCTCTGGATCTTACTGCTGGCTTTCACTGGGCTTCAGGGATTAGCTGCTTACTTTCTCTGGAGGGTAGGCTTCCCTTCTGGCTCATTCTGTGGCTTGTGCTGGGATGAGGGGTCTCTGGAGTGGGGCCTTCCTGGGCTACACAGACTACTCACTTGTTTAGGGGGCTGCTGGCTTGTAGGAGGATGGAGCCTTGCCGGTGAATTGTCCCAGGCTTGGTGCCTTGCTGTGGGCCCTCTGCTTGTGAAGCTGGCTGCTGCTTTTAGACCACACTCCCCTCCCACCCCAATAAGCAGCCCTTCCCTGCTGGGCTGGTCAGCTGCTGCCCTGCTCCTAGACCAATTCTGAGGAGGTTTTCTAGCTATTTGGAGGGTAATTTGAGAAGGCTTCAAAGGATTCCTTCCTCACTCTGCCATCTTGGCACCACAAGTCCATAGAACCTTAGAACCACAAATTCAGAGCTGGAAAGGACTCTAGAGGTTGTCTAGTCCAACCCTTCATCTGACAGATTAGGCAATGAAGGCCCTCAGAGTTTAAGCCCTTTTTCAAGACACACAGGCAGTACAGGGCTAATGCAGGATTTGAACCCAGGACCTCTGGATCCAAAGTCAGTGTTCTTTTCTACTCCATCACACCACCTTCTATTTTAGAGACAAGATAGATGAGCTAATTTCCCTTCCCTGGCTAAACACAGTAACCACATCATCTGTTGCAAATATCAAATGCAAACAACACACAAATTTGAGCAGCTGGAGGTTTTAACCACAAAATATTGTGTCTCCCATGATGCTGAAAATGCAGACCTTTTTCCAGATGGTCATATTGTGGATCCTGCCAGAGGGATTTTGCTTTGGGGATTTTCTGAGACTGAGACTCTGCTGTCCAGTATTTTTTATAAAAATGATATTATGGATATCTTTTTTTTCCATCATCATCATAAGAGCTAACATTCGTATAACACTTACCATGTGCTGGGTGCTTTACAATCATTAGCTCATTTGAGCCTTAAAACAACTCTGGTAGGTAGATGCTATGATTATACCCATTTGGTGTTGTTATTTAGTCATTTCAGTCATGTCTGACTCCGTGACCCCTTTTGGGGTTTTCTTGGCAAAGATCCTGGAGTGGTTTGCCATTTTACAGATGAGGAAACTGAGGCAAACAGGGTGAAGTGACTTCCCAAGGTCACACCTTGGTCATGATCCCATTTGGGGTTTTCTTGGCAAAGATCCTGGAGTGGTTTGCCATTTCCTTCTCCAGCTCATTTTTACAGATGAGGAAACTAAGTGACTTGCCCAGGGTCACATAGCTATTTAGTGTCTGAGGCCAGATTTGAACTCAGCTCTTCCTTACTTTAGGCCCAGTGCTCTATCTACTGAGCCACCTCGCTGTCCTCAGGGGACATCAGCAGAATCCACTCTCCTTCACTCTCCTGGCCATCCCATGTAACAAGAATATTTTTAAATCGTTCTGTAATTTTTTCAAGTAACAAGCTTCTTTGCATCCATCATATTTGTCTTTTCAGATTGCACAGTAATATTCCATGATTCATGTACCACAGCTTTAGGATAGGGAGAAACAGACACACACAGATACTGACTTTTTATCAATGGCTTCCTTAGGATACAAGCCTATTAGTGGAATCTCTGGGTCAAAGTCTTGGACACTTTAGTCACTATATTTGCATAATTCCAACTTGCTTCCCAAAATGATTGTCCCATTGAGCAACTCCACCAACAATGCACCAGTGTGCCTGTCTTCTCATAATCCCTCCAATACTGACCATTCTCTTGTCATCCTTGAAAATTTGCTGGGTGTGAAAAAAGTAAAACCTCAGGGTTGTTTTGATTTGCATTTCTCTTATTAATGATTTGGAATATTCTTTCATATGGTTGTTAATAGTTTGTGATTTTTCTTTCGAGAAGTGCTTGTTCACACATTTTGACCATTTATCTACTGGAAAATGGTTAATTAATATCTGTTAGTTATCTATATATCCTGGGCACTAAACCCTTAGCTAAGAAATCTCATACAAAGACTTTTTCCCATTTGCTTCCTTTCTTAACCAAGATCTATTAGTTTTATTCATGCAAAAGCTTTATAATTTCATGTAATTATAATTATTTATTTTACCTTTTGTAATTTGTAAGTATGTTTATTCTTTGTTTGGTTAAGTCAATTGTCTGTTCAGATGGATCTTGCTTAAATGCTGCTCTTCCTTACTTGCTGATTCAAAACCACCAGAAATGTGATCTTGGAATTCAATGAAAAACACCCTCACTATTATAATAGCCAAGATTATAGGTAGGCTGTCTTTCTAGCTGGAACCAATATGGATGCAGAGAAGATCAGTGCTAGGGCCCCAGAGTACAGATCAAATCCCTCCAGAGGCAAATAAATGTTGTGCCATGTCTAAAAAACAGAATTAATCTTTAACACAGGCATCGTGTTGCACAGATGAACGAGGTCATTAAATTGTCAACCTGAGACTTTCCATTGCATATATCCTGCTTTGTAAGCTAAAGGACACACATGTATAAGAAGACTCTATGTTAGGGATTTCTAGTATGGGAAACTCCTTCCATCAGCACAGATAGCAACTCATCGGTGGTTCAGGAGATAAATCCCAAGGTCATCGAGGTCGAGTGACTTGCCCAAGGTAACAAAGCTAGTAAGTGACAAAGATGAGATTTGAACTCAAGTCTTCAAGTGTGGAAACTGGACCTCTGAGAAGCTAAGTGACTTGTCCAAAGGAAAACAAGGACTAAGCGGAAGAATCCTAGATCCTCTTCCTCCAAACCTAACATTCCATCCACCGTGACACGCTCCTTCTACCATCTAGGACAGGGGATGGGATAGGACGAGGTCTGTGTCCAGTACAGATGGGCATCTTCTCCGCAAGTGTTAGTCTCAAACAGTTGCCTATGGGCACTGAGGAGTTAAGTGGCCTGTCCAGTGTTACCCAACCAGCATACCTCTCAGAGGAAGAATCTGGGATCAATCTACTTTAAACAAAAGCTTACGTGCCGTTTCTTGCCCCATTTCTCCCTTCCCTCTATTTCCTCAGAAAGCACCAGATTCCTAGATGTCTACTTGTTTCTGTTTGATGACTTCCTATTAATTACAAAAACCAAACACACCAAAAAGGTAATAAGCGATTTCTCACTCTGCTGAGTTGTTTTTTTCTTTTTTCTTTTAAATTAGTTGTGGTGGTGGTGATTTTTACAGACACACAGCCAAAACACAAAAGTCTGCGCAGGATCTCAAAGTTGAAGCTGGAAGGAACCTTAGACACCATTGAGTCTAACCCCCTCTTATTACAGATGAGGAAACTGAGGCTGAGGAGAGATTTAGTTGATTTTGGGGGGGGGTTAGGCAATGGGTTTAAGTGACTTGCCCAGGGTCACACAGCTAGTAAGTGTTATGTGTCTGAGGCAGGATTTGAACTGAGGTCCTCCTGAATCCAGGGCCAGTGCTCTATCCACTGCACCACCTAGCTACCCCTGAGGAGAGATTTAAGGTCTTAAATGCAGCTTTCAGTTCTGTAGCTGGAAATCAACAAAACAGATACCCAGTTTAACCAAGATTTCCAAACCACCATGATTAATTTGTGGAACATAGTGGTATTCATCACAGAAGAGCACTCAGGACAAATCCCATTCAGAGTACTCAAGGCAGAGAGTATAGTTAGGATTCACCACCTGCCCTGGAATCAGGAGCACCTGCGCTCAAATATGGGCTTAGACCCTTGACTGCTTACTAGCTGTATGACCTTGGGCAAGTCATTTAACCCCAACTGCCTCACTAAAAAAAAAAGGGGGGGGTGGCAGCTAGGTGGCACAGTGGATAGAATGCTGACCCTGAAGTCAGGAGGACCTGAGTTCAAATCTGGCCTCAGACCAAACACTTGACACTTACTAGCTTCGTGACCCTGGGCAAGTCACTTAACCCCAATTGCCTAAAAAAATAAATAAAATAAAATAAAATTCTATTATTCTGTGACTTGAAAAGAGCTCTGATCTGACTCTCCTAAACACTTTAGACTTTTAATTGCTACCAATAGTCAAAGGAGGAGTATCCTGGATTAAATATGGTTTTGATACCAAAAAAAAGAAAGAAACTCACAAATATTAGCCAAACATGTTAGTATTCCCGAAAAACATGGCAATATTTTCCTTCAGTCATCACCTCAAGAAAGGTAGCATGGGATAATGGATAGAAAGCCAGCCTCAAGGCCAGAAAGATCTGGGTTCAAGTCCAGAGTCTTACACATACTGGCTGTGTGTCCTTATGTCTGCCTCAGTTTCCTCAACTATAAAATGGGGATAGTAGAGTTGTACAAAGACCAAATGAAATAATATTTATGAAGAGTTTAACACCATGTTGGCACATAGTAGGTGCTCAGTGCTCATTCTGTTCCTCGGCTATGTCTCCCCAGCCAAGCCAATGAAATCTCTGAAGCTGTCCCAAGCCTATTGTCACCTCAAAGTGGCTGGAAATCAGAAAACCTATAGTTTAATTTGTCCAGCTGTCAGACTGCTGCCTAAAAAAGAAAGACGGGCCTACAGGGATGGATGGAACAGTTAATAGGAGGCAACTGGTTGATGAAACCACAAGGTCGCTTAGGGAGTGAAGTATTTACATAGCTTGACCTTGTTTTCTGACTCTAGTTACAGGGCATACCAAGAATTTCCTGTCCGATTTCTATCTTCCCATTTAATAAAGCATCCCCAGAACTCAAGCTGAGAGGCGAGAGATGAGAAGGGAGGAGAAGCTCATGATCTATTAGATAAAGTGTCCTTTTGGAATGAAAGTGGGGATGACATCAAGGAAGGGAAATTATATCTGTAGGCAAGAAGATCCCAGCCACCAGCCTCCCCTTCCCATTTTGATTAATTGATTCCTTCCATGTACCTGCCATGGCTCTGGACCCTGGAAATACGGTGACAAAAATGAAATCGTTTCCTGCCCTCAAGGAACTTACATTCTGTGTTTGTGGAAGGGGAGCCAACCAGTACAGTAAAGTCCATAATTTATGCAAAGGAACCTCAAAGTAATTTGGCAGAGAGAGAGGACTCATTATTTCAGACATTAGACAGAGTTTGGGAAGAAGGTGGAACATGAGTTGAGCACTGAGTGGAGCTAGGGGCTCCAAGAAGTGGAGGTGAGAAGGTAGAGGAGAGGAAGTGGAGGTGAGGAAATGGATTTGAGGAGCGGGAGGTGAAGAAGAGGAGGTAGAGTTGAGAAGGTAAGATGGAGGTTAGGAAGTGGAAGTGAAGAGGTAGAGGTAGAGGTGAGGAAATGGATTTGAGGAGGGGGAGGGGAGGAGATAGAGGTGGAGGTGAGGAAGTAGAGGTAAGGATGTGGGGAGGTAGAGGTGAGGAGAACATCCCAGGCATAGGGAACAGTCTGGTACCAATCAACCAGTTATCTCTGTACAAAGGCATAGAGATACAACATCATATATGGGGATTAAGAGGCAAACCCAGTTATCTGGAAGTTTGAGTACATGAGAGGCAGAACTTTAACAAGTAAGCTTTAACAAGTAGGTTGGAGCCAGATTATAAAGGACTCTAAATGCCAGCCTATGTCATGCCAATGATGGCCAAAACCAACTGGAGCTTGAAAGAAGCATCATGGCCAAAATTTTCATGTCATGGAATCATCCATAAGCCATACCATTATTTTCTAGGCAAATTATTGCCATTCTCTTGTGCTGTTTTGCATTTCATTTCCATTGTGCAAATTAGGATGATTACCATCTCTTTTAAATTGCCTCATCTCTTATTTTAAAAATGATTGCAACAATTTGCAGACTCTAGGGTCTGGAGTTTATCTGGAGTCTGTGCCATTGGTAGCATCTCTGGTGACTAAATCCCAAAGGTAGCACAGCCAGAATCATTCCTTCCCTCTTCATCCTTCCATCTTACTCCAAAAGGGATCAAAATATCAGGAAGGGAATCTTCCTCTTAAGTGTAATGGCAATGAAGATCCAGTGACCGTGGATTTCAAAAGACAATGAATGAAGTAACCTTTTTTTGAGCCCTACCAAATGCCCGTATACCTGGCACTCTGTTAGATCCCAAAGACACAAAGAAAAGCCAAAAGGCAAACAAAAAAGGAAAACAAAACACACCACAAAAACAGTCCCTACCTTCAAGGAGCTCACGGTCCAATGGGGGAGATAACATGCAAACAATTGAACAAACCAAGATATTGGCCATATACACTGGAGATAATCTCAGAGTCCAGGCTTCTTCTAAAGGTGAGACTTTAGCTGGGACTTAAATTATTGGGAAATTAGTTATTCTCAGGATCCAGGAGTCATCATAGATAATATTTTGAGATGTCACCTAAAAGGGCTATTTACAATGTAAAGAATCATGGGTTAAGTCACGGTTTGGGTGTGTTATTTTGAATTTATTGAATCATCTCCTTCTTTCATTTCAGAAACTTGGGTGCTCAGACATAGGTTTAGTCTGCCCTTCCCTTACCCCTGAGCTGCAGGCGATGATTAAAGAAGGTGGTTCTTGTACGGTACTCGATCAACCCATTCCTTTGGACCGGCTGGTGGTTAAAAATATTGACCCACTCCATGTATCAGGTAGACTCCTCCTGCCTTTGCGCCATTGCTTCTGTTTGTCATCAAAGTTTTCCATTGGTTAACGGCCTATTGGCCACACCCACATCTGACAGCTGCCATAATATGAATCGTCATATTATTGCATATAATTGGATTGCACTCCCCTATAGATAGAACTGGGCCATCTGACTTTTTTCTTTCAATGCTAATGTGATTGATACATCTTACAAGCCCTACAAGGTGGAGTGATGGGATAAGGGGAAGTTCTAGAATCTGCAGGTATGCAGGTGTGGTGAATGGGAAGGAGCGGTAGATTAGGAGTCATTTAATATGATATTGAATCTGGAATCTGTTGCTTTAGGACTGCAGGATCACTGATTTAGAGCTGAAAGGGACATCAGAGACCATCTTTTATTTTTCAGTTGTGTCCAACTCTCTGTGACCCCATTTAGGGTTTTCTTGGCAAAGATATTGGAGCGGTCTGCCATTTTCTTCTCTAGCTCATTTTTACAGATGAGTAAACAGAGGTAAACCGGGTTAAGTGACTTGCCTAGGGTTAATAGTAAGTGTGTGAGGCCAAATTTGAACTCCCAAATATGAGTCTTAATGATTTAAGGCCCAGCACTCTTAGCACTATGGCACCATCTAGCTGTCCTAAGAGGCCATCTAGTCAAACCCTTCAATTTAGAGATAAAGAAACTGAGATTCAGAGATTAATTAATTGAGTTGGCCAGGGTTAGATAGCTAGTAAGTACCAAAGATGGAGATCTGAACCTAGCTATTCCAGACTCCACATTCAGCAGCGTGGTTACTATGCTACAACACCTAGCTCATTCATTCATAGGTCTCATTTTTGTCATTTGTCATATGGGGCTAAGCATGAAAAGTAGCATGGTGCTGTGAAAGGAAAGGTGACGCAGGAATCAGGAAGACCCGGGTTCAACATTCCCTTCTGCCTCATACTGTGACCCTGGACAAGTCACTTATTTTTAGAATATGATCTTAAGTATCTGAACTTATTGAGTCCAGATAATTCTGGGCCTGACTATGCATTCTATTGCTGTCTACAGTACCCTACCTACAGCACCACGGTATTTCTATTAGTCTAGCTACGTCCAACGAGATTGAACACCAGAGTTGGCCACCAGGTGGTAAAAATTTTGTACAAATGCATCAGGACCGCCCATCTGGTAAGGAAGGCTCCATCTGCCATCTACATCAATGGTGGGGGTGTCCACACTGAACAAATCATAAATCCTTGATGGTTGAGATCAAACCCAAACTGATTAAATAACCTAGATGAACCAGAGGGGATGTCTCTGGAGCATTTTCCCTGTTTATGAGAAGGGTTAGACAGGAAAGGAGTAGGGAGATAGCTCTCCAGTGTATGAGCTGGTATACCTGGAACTCGCTAACACACAAAAAGTCCCAGGATGGTATAGGACTCTCCTCTGAGGAATTCCTTGTTTAAACTAACAACCGTAGCAAGATGGTCTCAGGGGTGGGGAAACTGCGGCCTTGAGGCCACATGTGGACTTCTAAGTCCTCAAGTGTGGCTGTTTGATAGAATTCAAACCTCACAGAACAAATCCTTTTATTTGGGGATTTGCTCTGTAAAGGCTGGATTCAATCAAAGAGCAGGCCAAGGTTCCCCACTCCTGGTAGATTAAATAGGAGACTTTAAAAAAAAATGAGAACTGGGCAGCTAGGTGGCACAGTGAATAGGGCACTGGCCCAGGAGTCGGGAGGATTTGAATTCAAATCTGGCCTCAGACACTTACTAGCTGTGTGACCCTGAGCAAGACCCTTAACCCTGATTGCCTCCAAAAAAAATGAGGACCAAATCAGTGAAACTGAACCATCACCATTCCCCAGGAGAATGTCCCTCAGCTTGGAGGGTAGGGACTGATTTTTTTTGGTTTCTATCCCTAGTACCCATTGACAGAAAGCACTGCACAAAAGATAGTATCAGCCTCAGGGAGATCTGATTCAAGCCCTGCCTCTTACACATATTTGTGTGATTCTGGGTAAATTATTTAGCCTGCCAGTGCCTGCCCCCCATCCACACTCCAGCAACTCTCTCAGACTCTAAGGTACAGAGCAGGTGCTGATATGTAGCGGTAGAAGATTTCTTTACTCCTAAATTCCTATACCAATGAAATCATAGATCTGGTCCAAAATAAAACAAACCAGCCATATCAGTCAAACTATCAAAAAATTATTAGATAGAGCTAGAAAAAAATAACAACAAAATTCATCTGGAAGAACAAAAGGTCAAGGATATCAAGGGAGCTCATGAAAAAAAATACAAAGGAAGGTGGCCTGGCTGTACCAGATCTAAAACTATATTATAAAGCAGTAATCATCAAAACCATCTGGTACCGGCTAAGAAACAGAGTGGTGGATCAGTGGAATAGGTTAGTACACAAGACAGTAGTCAATGACCATAGTAACCTAGTGTTTGATAAACCCAAAGACCCCAGCCTCTGGGATAAGAACCCACTCTTTGAAAAAAACTGCTGGGAAAACTGGAAAACAATGGGGCACAAACTAGGCCTAGACCAACATCCCAAAAACAAACAAACCAACCCAATGCCTCACAGTCAGCCAACAAACATTCATTAAGTATTTACCAGGCACAACATTAAACACAAGACTGTCAAGAAAGGCAAAAAAGCCATTCCTGCCATCAAGAGCATACTAGTGGACAATCAGTTAAGACAGTGATAGTTTAAGAGAACTACCCAGAGTAACATAGCTAAGATATTTCAACACTGGGTCTTGAACACAGGTCCAAATCATGTTTTGGACTCCAAGACTAATCCTCTATCCAATACGCCATATTTCTCTTGCTCATGGTAGACGCAATATATGTGATGAATTAAATTGGAGGGCATCGTATATAACACGAGGAACCATATACCCTAGTCAGTAATTTACTTAACATTAGGCCAGTTAAGACTTTTGGTCCATGCAAAAATATGACGCTCGAAGATGTGTTGGAAGCCATGAGACACAGTAAGGAAGAAGAGTTCAACCAGACCATCATTAGAACAAATTCAATTTCTGGGCCTTGACTTTTAATGGAAATTGGTCATAATTGGTCACATGAAGACAACTGTATACATAGCCCCTTTTGTACCTTTATTTATATGCAGGAACTCCTCCTTTTGCCATATTTCCACCCATTGGGTGTTTTTTTTTATTTGAGGAATGACAGTTCTTTCACCTTTGTCTTCTCTCCCCTCCCAAGATTCCAGCTGATCAGACAGGATACATAATAAAAATGGACCCTTAGGTATATGTGCTTCTCTACTCCATCATTTAGAAAGGCTATTTTGTAAATTCCCTTTGCTCCCTGAGAAAGCATCATGTAGCCATGTTGTTCAAAATCTACCATTTACTTCAAATCACAGATGAGACAGCCAATTACATTTTATAATGGAAATCAATATTCCCACTCAAAGTCAGTCCTGCCTCAAAGAAGCCCCATCATCACTAAATTTATTATATTTAGTCAGTAAAAGGAAAGTCAGGGGAGCAGCCCTGCATTAATGATCAACTAAGAAAACCACCAGTCTTCTGTCCAACCCCTCTGACCGCACTCACACCTCTTGAGAATCCAAGGACTGGGCCTGCTTCCTTAGGTTCTAAAAATAAATGGACTACAAAGGATGGATGGGCCGAGAGATTTATATATGTATTTTTCCCCATAGCAATAATTCAAGAGAGGCATTTTAAAGAGTTCCTGCTGTGTAAAAGGAATTTGCTCCCAGAATAGAATCCTGCATGGTCTTTGACACGCCAGCTGGGGAATAAAATGGTCTCCAACACACAGGCTCTGCCAGCACTGTTTTGCCTTCTCATATCTAACTTCATTTGCGTCTGTGCATGTTTTTCAGGAGGCAATGGTGTGAACCATATTGTCATGCTTTGTTTCGACACCTACTTTTTTCTTAAGAAAGCAAGGGACTGTGATAGGGAGGGAGAATCATCTCTGTCCCTCTATTGATTGTTTCCTGATAGGACATTATTTTTACTGTGGAAACTTAGCCTTAAAATATCTACCTTGTTGGGGCAGCTAGGTGGCACAGTGGATAGAACTCCAGCCTTGGAGTCAGGAAGACCTGAGTTCAAATCTGGTCTTAGACACTTGACACTTACTAGCTGTGTGACCATGTGCAAGTCACTTAACCCCAACTGCCTCACCCTAAATATATATATATGCATATACATGTATGTACATGCATATATATGTGTGTATATGTATATGTATGTATATATGTATGTATATATGTATATACCTTGTTCCACGAAGAGCAGGCCATTTCCCATCATGTGCATGGAAAATTGGGAAGCAATGCAGTATAGTGGAAAGAGCACCAATTTTGGAATCAGAAGACCACCATTTGACCTCTGGGTCTGTTACGCCCTACCTGTGTGACCTTAGTCAAGATACTTAACCTTTCTGAGTCTCAGACTCAACTCCAAAATGAGGAGGTTGGATTAGAGGCGTGGAATCTGCGGCCTTGAGGCCACATGTGGTCCTCTAGGTCTTCAAGTGCAGCCTTTGACTAAATCAACCTGGATTCAGTCAAAGGGCCACACTTGAGGACCTAGAGGGCCACATGGATTCAGTCAAACAGATGCACTTGAGGACCTAGAGGGTCACATGTGGCCTCAAGGCTGCAGGTTCCCCACCCTTGGACTAAACAGTCTCATAGGTTCTTTTCAGCTCTAAGTCTGTGACCCTATAAACGACATTTCCTCACAACTCAGACATCATTCATAGTTCTAAGGTGACTTTCTCTACCTGCACCATCTTGAAAACCTTCCACCATCCCCAACTTCCCCCAAACAAACCCCCAAAGGAGCAACCAGGAAACTATTCTGTTTTTATTACTGAATAATGAGCTGAACATGTCACTGTAAATGTCTCTTTCTAGTCTTTGGGCTAAGAAATGCTTTCCTTCTACAACACAAAAACCGTTATCAACAATGTATAGCAGCTTTCTTGTTGCAAGCACAAACGGAAACAGCCAAAGTAAGTCTTTCACTTAATTATTATTAATTAATTTAATTATTCACTTCTGATTTTCAGATTTTCCATGAATAAAGAATCCACCCAAAACATCTTTATTTTAAATTTTATGAAGAACAAGAGGAGCATTTTGGCAAGGGGACAGAAGGGAGCTGGCCCTTTTTTGGTGGGTTCAAATTCTGTTTCATACAGATGGACCATAGTGTCCTATCCACTCAAGTCAGTTTCCCATTCTTGGAAAGTCCTACAAATCTGTTCCCTTGGTTTATCTGCTCACCACTTAGCAAAATTCCATGATCCCAGTAACTGACCTACCTCCAGATAATGCCAAATGTTGGTTGGGGTTTCCAGTTGGGGAGATATAGGTTTAGACACTCAGCTGCGTAGGAACTCCTACAATAAACAAAAGAATCCATTATTCATGAAAAATCAATTCCTTGAGATTACTGCCGAGTCCTAGTACATGCTAGGATTTCTATCTCTATTCTTTTTCCACACCATTCATTTTCTCGGTGCTTAAAAAATCCTTTATTATTGCTTTCTCCATGTGATCTTCATTGTGGCATTTTCAAATTTATCTACTTTGCATGAATTCATGTTTACAAAGGGATTCTGTGTCATCACAATGCATAACATGAAAGAAAACATGAAGTGGACTAAGGGAGAGAAAGCATAGCGGAGTGGGTGCATAGCTAGCCTTACTGTCAAGAACTAGGTTCAAGTCCCACCTTTGACCCAGAGGGACTATGGGAACTTGGATAGGTCACTTAACTCCCCCCCCACTCCCCTAAGTAGCCCTGTTTCAGTGAGAGTGGCTGTCCTGCAATGGTATATACCTAGCATCCTCTACCTAGATGGAACCACAGGTACAGACCAAAAAAAAAAAAAGTGCTACAGAGTTTAGTGTATATTGGTTTTAAAGTATAAATATATAGGAAAACATGGATCCAAATAAAAATGTGAGACTGCTAGTTTGATCCTATTAAAAAAGGATTTGTTATCTTACTTTTAAAAAATTCATTTTTTGTTACATTCTAAATTCCAAACTATCTCCCTCCCTCCTTCCCCATCCCTCACTAGAGAAGGCCACCATTTTTCACACACACACGTATTTATATATACATATACATATGTATGTATATATGTAAAACCATACTATGCATACTTCTATTTATCAGTTCTTTCTCTGGAGGTAGACAGCATCTTTCTTCATAGGTCCCCCATAGTTGATTTGAATATTTGTAATACTCAGAATAATTTAGTCATTCACATTCTTTAGTCAGTTTTTCTTTTAATTTTAAATTAATATAATAATTAAATAATTCTATTCATTAAATAAAAATTTTAATTAATGTGATTAAATTCTATATAAAATTTATATATATATTCATACATACCATTGATATACAAATTAATTTATTAATAATTAAATGATAATCAAATAAATTAATTTTTTAAATTTAGTCAGTTCTTTTAATAATATTGCTGTTGCTGTATACAATGTTCTCTTAGTTCTGCTCATTTCACTCTTCATTGTTTCATGCAAATCTTTACATGTTTTTCAAAAATCAACCTGCTCATCATTTCTTATAACACAGTAGGATTGCAAAACAATCACACACCACAACTTGTTCAGCCATTCCCTAACTGATGGGCATCTCCTCAATTTCTAGTTCTTTACCACCATAAAGAGAGCTGCTATAAATATATAGGTTCTTTTCCTTTTTCCTTAATTTCCTTGAGAATCAGACCTAATAGTGGTATTTCTGGGTCAAGAAGTACATGCGGTTTTATAACTCTTTGGGCATAATTCCAGATTGTTCTTCAAAATGGTTGGATCAGTTCACAATTCCACCAACTGTATTAAGTCCTAATTTTTCCCCATTCCCTCCAATATTTGTTGTTTTCCCCTTCTATCTGTGGTAGGGTTCTTCTGCTTAACTCAATTTTATTTTATTTTATTCATTCATTCATATATTTTATTTATTGTTGCAGCTTCTCTCTTGGTTGTTAATGTTAGAGTTGGACTCTGCTCCTGGGGTGTGGAGATAATGTCTCAGGCTTCAGGCTTTTGTCATGCTGTTGTTTTCTGAGCTCTATCTGGGCTGCCCCCAGGGCTCATTGTTTGTTGATGCAGCCAAATCTGCCTGGAGGTATCTACTCTTCAATAGACCACACACTGGGGGAGGTCAGGTCTTTCCAAACATCCTCCTAAATCATCTTAGGCTGAACGACTGTTTTACCCCAACTTTCAATTACTTCTGATGCTCTAAGATTTTCTTTGAGGCCCTATTGTGAGGGAATTTGGGAGAGCTAAGTAGATTTACTCCACCATCCTCCCAGAATCCTCCTGTGATAAAGCAGTTTTTTTTTCCACTCTTACAGAAAACATGGATGGCACAAATTCAAATGGCAACCTCTAGCTTCATGAAGAGATATGAGACAAAGAAATCCTCCTTCACTTTGTCTACAGAATCCTCTGAGATCTAGGGGCCAGAATACAATGACTGTATTTGCTATAACTTTTTATCTACTGATAGAGGCTGCTCCTGTGATTTCATTGGCATAGAATGAGGACACGCCCTCTGCCAACTCTACCTTCTCTATAAGTTAGTCTAAGGGGGCTGCCTAGGGCACTTGAGACTTTTAAGTGATTTGGTCAAAGCTGGGCAGCCACTATGTGTCACCCTTGGGTTTCCTGTCTTCAAGGTCAACTTTTATGCATTACAGCATGCTTCATCTAACTTTTTATGTATTTAGGTTTAAATTATCATTTTTACAAAGTTATTATAACCTTCCCCCCATGATCAACTGTGAAGATATAGTGGTACTGTGGAATATGAAGATTTGGTTCAAGAAAATCAGCAGAGTAGAGGTTATAAAGATGGAAACATTCTGGGAGATCCCAGTGAAAAGCATTCTGACTTTCAGAATATTTGGTAATATTTCCATTAGCCTTGAAAGATGTCCAGTTAAGATTAAAAATTGAACAGTGCGACACAAAGAAATAGTGGAAGCGCCTCTGTCTCTAAACCAGGGGTTCTTAATTTGAGGTCCATGAACCTTTTTTTTAAAAAAATGATATATTATTTATATGTGTATGTGTGTGTGTGTGTGTGTGTGTGTGTATACACACATATGTGACAACTATTTCAATATAATTGGTTTCATTTGTAATCCTATGTATTTTACGAATTTAAAAACATTATTCTGACAAGAGGCCCATAATCTTAACTAAACTGACAAAGCAATCCATGACACACAAGAAAGGCTAAGAACCCCAGGAGTCCCCAGATCACACTTTGAGAACAGCTGGACAGTAGGAAAAGGCCTAGAGTTAGGAGAGTCCTAGGTTCAAATCCCATTTCTGACAGTGGTTTATTGGCCTAAGTCATTTAAAGTCTCTGAGCCTCAGTTTCCTCATCTGCTATTTTGACCAGCGCTTTTGAAACTGTGAGTCATGAGTGGAAAAAGTTTAAGAAGCCCTTATTTTGACCACTCCTCTTCTAGCACAATGGATAACTAAGAAAGGAATGCTATTCATGCATGGCCTTGCTCTGCAAACCCTCAAACATCGGTCATTTTTATTTTAAACTTGGTGCCTTAGATATGAAAAATTAAACAAGAGGGATGGCCCACACTTCCTACCCAGAATTACATGGACATACAATCCTCATTTCTCAAAAGTTGCTCACATTTATTCATTTTGTGTATTTCAGGTTAAAAAAAAAATGTTCACACAATTAGGGTCCAGTGAAAAAGAACCCAGGCTTGGGAGGGAGAGGACCTGGGTTCTGCTGCTTACTATGTGTGACCTTGGGCAAGTCACAATCTGCTAGGCCTCAGTTTTTTCACCTGTAAAATGAGAGGGTACTAGGTGACCTTTGAAGCCCCTTCTATGACCCCAATGAATGAATCAGAAAACTGAACTTACTTCTCTTGAAAGAAAATTAAGTTTTTCAAGCACAACTTGAATGTTTTCATCCATGTCATCAAACTTTTTTGATCACTTTGAAGGTCATTCCAATATATTCCTTTTCTTCAACATAACTCTATTTTGCTTTTAATAGAAAAAAGCTACTTATTGTTGATATTACTTTTTCCATTTATTTTATAGACCATAAAAATTCAATTAGACCAAAATCAAGAATCAAATATGCTTGCACACTACTAACTATAATAATACCTTGCATTTATAGAGTGCCTTAAGCCTTGTAAAGTGAGAAACTGAGGCAAAGGTTAAGGGACCTGCCCAGGGTTACGCAGCCAGTTAAGTATTTAAGGTTGAATTTCAACTGAGCTCTTCCTGACTCCAGGTCAAGGACTCTGCTCACTGTGCCACCCAGCTGCCGTTATTCAGGGAGGGGACATAGTATGGCACATTTCATTGGTGTAGGGAACTCCAAGTGAGAAAAATCCCTCTAACAATGCAGCTGGCCTTAAGAAAGTTTGAAACATACTGCTATAAAATGAAGACACGAAAATGTTGGAAAGTTAAAGATAGGGGAAGCTAGGTGTCACAGCAGATAAAGCACCAGCCCTGGGAGTCAGGAGGACCTGAGTTCAAATCTGGCCTCAGACACCTGACACTTACTAGCTGTGTGACCTTAGGCAAGTCACTTAACCCCAATTGCCTGGCCAAAAAAAAGTTAAAGATACACACCCCTCCCAGAAGATATCAGATGCAATTCCACAAGGGTCTTAATTCAGGACATGGCACTGTCACAGCAAGTTTGTTGGTCACGTGAAGGTAGTTGGAAAACTAGATAGCAGATGAAGAGTTGAAGATGTGGACAAGGATGGCTATATGGAGCGGTCTATGTGAAGTAATTAACTTGGGTTAAAAAAAACAAACAAAAAAACTTCACACAAATAAAAATGGGTCTTGGTGGTACCTATCTGACTAATTTGCAGGTTGTTGGTGGACGTTAACTTTATAATTGATGTTTATATAGTGTTTTCAGGTTTGTAGACCAATCTACATGCATTATCTTATTTCATTCTCACAACACTGTAGGGTAGTAAAGCTATCATGGTCCTTTTACAGATGAGGAAACTGAGGCTCAGCATGATTAAGTGGCTTAAGTCAACAGACTAATATCAGAAATGGGACCTAAACCTGGGTCTAAGTCTAAGCCTCTTTCCACTATACTGGTGGGTCACCAAGTGTCCTCTAGGGACCCCTGGGCCTCTTCTAGGGGGCCAGGGGGCCAAGTCAAAAATAAGAAGAAATTTTAATTTCCAATGCAGCAAGTACTGATAGATATAATCCATGTAAACTAAAGCTCTTTGGGGGCCTTTATAATTTTTAGAGCATAGAGTCCTAAGTCCCAAAAGTTAAGAGAACCACTGCACTGTACCATGGTGTCTCATAAGTAAATGTTTGATACAGAATCCTAGATAAAGGAAAGCAAGGTGATGTAAGGGATATACTAGTAATTGACATGCATATGGTGCTTTTAAGTTTGTAAAATACTGGGATGTATATGTATGTGTGCACATATATATACACACACACATACACACACACACACACACATCTCATCCCATTTTCTCATTTATGGCTTACAACAACCAAATGAGGAATTGAAATGGGAAAATAGCACGTAAACACTGTATTTCAAAGGTGTTGGGCCTTTACAGTTTTCAGTATCTGGACCCATCAACTGAAAACAGAAAAATCTATTCTAGAGAGTAGCAATGATTAAAGAAAAAAAGGTGTTGTTTACTCAGAATGAAAAAATAAAATAAAAAGGGAGAACAGTGTTCAAATATGTAGGGATATTGTGTGGGTGGTAATGAGAGGTTCTTCTGTAGTCACTGACAAACAGAGCTGTAGGGTTTGGATGCATTGCCAAAGGAAGTTTTGCTTCATTGGAGATTGTTATGGAAAAGTGTAAATGTTCTTATTGCTGAGGAAACATCTCAAACATGTCATTTAGGTACAGGCCTACTCAGAGAGAGGGCACTTACCAGATGATCTCTTAAGGTCTCTTCAAGCCCTATGATTCTATGAATCATATTTATGTAACATATGAAGGGTTGGTTTTCCCAGTTTCATTCCACCCAAAAAGGGAAAAATACATGTTTAAAAGAAAATCTTTAACTTTTCAGCAACAGGTTGTATACAAAGACTTTTGCAAACACCAAAATGGAAATTCTAACTTACTTTTAAGGAATACTCTACAACGTATCAGTAGATAACACCTTGCGGCCAAAAATCAGGCAGCCAAAAGATCTCCCTTTTGTGGAAACAGTATCTCAAACAGGCACTCCATTTTGAAACAGAGGTGGGCAAATGGGCAACCTCTTACAAACGTACAGCATGAAATGAAGGGTTTTCACTGATTTCTTGGCATTTTATACAATGATCCATGGAGGAAAGCAAAGAGCACAAAGCAGAATGGGACAGATGAACCATACGATGAAGGAAATGAATCATGCCTCTTAAAAGCATGCATTTAACTTCTACTAGAGTTGAAATAAAAACAAAAACCCCAATGCTGACTTCCAAGTGTACTGTGTTCCTATTCTATTGGTAAATAAATTACTTCAGAACAAATTCCCTATTGTCTCATTTTGTCATGTTGAGGAAAGACCATATGTTATCATAGACCACAACTGCTAGAAAGAGGGTTTTTATTAATATTCTTTTAACAGATTAAAAACCAAATGCAACAACACAACAAGTCTCCTTCCAACGCTCTTTGTACAGAATCACGTACCACCATTTGGGGTTACTGGTAGGTACAATTCGAATCAATTGCCATCCGATCCTGAGTTCAGGTAGTACAGTGCACGCTGAACTAAACTCTTCCACAATATAAGGCACCAGCACATGATCACAAGGAGTACATACCACACAACTTAAGAAACAAAAAAATCAGATAAACAATCCATGCAAACCCATCTACAGATGAGCATGATCCAGTTTCCAGAAGTACATGTCATGGACACGTAACTGCACTGTGTTACCAGTCTGCACACAGCAAGAACTTAGTTATTTCCAATTCTATTTGATACATGTTTACATAAATTCCATAGGTCTATGCACAATATTCACATCTGCAATGATAATGAAAAATTAGAATCTAGGCAAATGGCAATTAAGACAGGATAATGTGTGGCACGCTTGCATTAAAAATACCATTCGTCAAGCTTGTGTCTAGGAATGCTAAATTAATGGCACATTTAATCTTGTGGATGATAAGTATTTGTGGTTTAATAACCAAAGTGCATATAAAATTCGCTGTGGTCACACAGACCACAATTATCAAAGTGTGTGATAATAATCTGCTCTTTACTCAAGGAAAAAAGAAACATCTTTATGACAGGGTTAAAGAAACAGAATTAGCTTTACAAATCTCAAAACTGTACAATTTAAAAATAATCACCAAGAATCACCTCTTTCAGGGTAATGGGATACAAACATTTTCGGCAATTACTATGTAACACTACTGTGAGGAAGCCCTACTCAAAACTAGCTCAATTCCACAGAGAGGTAGTTGAAACAAAATGCTATTCATATCCTGCACTGAGGTCTTCTGTTTATTTCCCCCCACCCCCACCCCACCCCACCCTTTTTTTCCTTACAAAAGAAACAAATCCTGTACAAGCAGCATTTTTAGTCTTTTTTCTACAAAAGTTCTACAGGTACAGTCTGGCATACACTAGACCAGCAAGGCCTGCCTTTTTCTTTACTTTTTTCTTTTTTTTTTTTTTTAAAAAAAAAACAGCTCTTCTGTGTCTGGATTTGAAGTTTTCCAGCCTGCTTTGCATTACTGCCAAATCACAGATCTTCCAACTCTAACTCACAGACACAAGAATGGAGCCTAGCAGCCACATTTGAAATATGCAGCCTAGGAGCATATTTTCATCTTTTTCAAGGGGAAAATTTCCTTTTGTTTTAAAAACATCTTAGGTTCGTGAATTAAGAACAGAAAGCTATGTGGCAGTGACAACAACATCAGCATCACTAGCTCAGAGAAAGCACAAGGAACCTTAGGACATTGATGGAAACAAGAAAAGCAGTCAGATTACACACTTTTGTAAAAGCATTTCTGTAATAGTCTCCATGTTATTTTTCTAATGAA